TTGTATTCTACAGATACATTCGATCTAAAAGTAATTAGGCCATTTTACTTTAAATTTATTCTCGTATTTAAATACCTAAAGTGTCCACTTCAAGTAACACAACAAATTTCTCGTGAAACTTAAATCTTCTAAATTTTAATTTTAAATATTTTATTTTAAATAGGTCAGAACAAGGGACTAATGTACTGAAATTTTCTTTGGTGGTTCTGTTGGCTTTTGGAAAGTCTTTTCTAAGGTAGGTTTTATACAATTTATCAGCTATTTCTGGTTTTATAAAGGATGTGGTACTACCGGTGTTGATAAGAACGATTTTAAATTATTGGGGTTTCTACAGAATGATGATGATGAAATGTCGACGATGAAGGATCATGAAGGGTCAACAGAAATTAAAATTTTCGCCAATCATTTATTCAACATTTATTACTGTCATCCTCAGGGCCTGCTTATTTACAAATGTACATTAATTTTTTTATGATATGGTGGCAATACTATTAATTAATAATTAAATAATATCACTGTCCGTCAAATCCTAGTTATTTAAACAATTAATTGAACATTTTTAACAATTTACTTAAAGTTGTATATCCCATAGAGAGATAAGCGAGCTAAAATTATATTCAATTTAAATTAGTACATTGTTAACAATTAATAGGCTAAAATGGCTAAGCAATGAATAAACATAATTAAAATTCTATTTTTAACAAGCAGTTGTAAACCCTAACCCTTAAGGGTCACCTCTCACTGCAGACTTTTAGTCGACCAACTGTTTAGTTGATAGTTGGTTGCATATCCTAGATTCTAGTCAGCCACTAGCCGGTGAAACGGTTGGATAGGCTGCCCAATTGCCTTCCAACTGAAAAGTCCAAAAAGCCAACTATCGGCCTCGAGGCCTTCCGCACCTTGTCTTGAGTAGATCGATTGTGCTCCTGTTTTTCCACCTTTCTTTCTTGCTTTTATAACTAACTGTCCAGATTCAAGTTGTTAATCAGCCTCCCAAGGCTTGCCAGCGGCTCCTTAGTTTAAATCCTTTGCCTAAGCATCGGAATATCACCAATAAATCTGTTCCCGTTGTCATGGAGGTGTTCAGGCAAAGCTGCATCCCAGTCTATGTGAGATAACCACAACCTCTGTAGGGAAAACTTAATCCAAAACAGAACAGGATATAAAACCCAAGGGGGTCCAATGCATTTGCTCGACATAGGAGAGGACATTTCTCGTCGAAATGTGTCAGGCGAAAGGCAAAATTTTGTAACTGAAGGCATCTGTTTGAGAGTTCCACATGAGTTCTCAGATTTTAATGGTCTTATCTCCCAGCACTAAGCTCAAAGGAGTCTCGAGATAGTCCGCAAGGATATCCGAAAGCACTGAAAAATCACTACCATACCATTTTCTTAAGTCAAAACAATCAGTTTTTAGCAATTCAGTAAGTTGATGTCGAAGCTCCACCTCTTTTTCGAGGCTTTCTGACCCACTAATGATATCGCCCATTCTTCGTCAGGGCTCATGATGTAAGAGGTCCATCCTTGTGATCCATCATCCTCAATTAAGTGCGAATTAAAGACTGAGCCAAATAGGCAGAAGTAAAACCATAAGTTAGAATTTGAAGTTCATACTTCACTACCATACTTTATCTTTAGAGGGTCTCCAAAACACATCAAGCTGATCCTGAGAATTAAGATAGATGTTTCTATACATCATTCTCATGTTGGTGAAAAGCGCAACGGCGTATGGCCGGAAAAACATCAAAATGTCACCAATTTAGGGTTGTAATTTTAGGCCAGAGAGAAGTCGATCGTTAAGAGAACCCTTGACGTCGTGAGAGGAAGCATTACTTCGGTGGTCGAGGAGGACTCTTTGTTCACCCAATAATGACGCAAAACGTAAGAGGACTGAAAACTAGCGGATGGCCTAAAGAGAAGTATTTTTCCATAAATGTCTGATAGGGTTCAGACATAACTGCACTGCAAAACAGGGGAGAGGGAGGGAGGGAGGGAGGGATGGAGGGAGAGAGAGGGCGAGGGAGAGGGAGAGAGAGGGGGGAGGAGAGAGAGAGAGAGAGAGAGAGAGAGAGAGTGAGAGAGAGAGTGAGAGAGAGAGTGGAACCCTGATAAGCTATATTTAATTGTCCGTTGTTGCCTACAACTATCGGGTTTGAGCTTCCTCCGTTAACGAAGACTTCACGTCACCCGGCCATTTAAATTTACCAACAGAACACAAAAGAAAAACAGGAAGTATTTGTAAAGAACGTAAGGAATATTAGTAAGAATTAGAAAAAAAAAAGAAAGAAAACTATGAATCCGGCTGAACGTCGTGTTCAGTGTTTATTACTTGGACATGCCAGTGAATGTCAGATGGTTAGTGCTCGTCGTCTGTTGCCTGCTCGCTAATATCTTACGGCATCATAGCGAAGAAGATAAGAAAGCGGTTATGTTGGTTGTTCAAATTAATAAATTTGAGTTGTGGACTGAGTAGACTTGGCAAGAAGGCATTAAACTTGGCCAACTGTAAACACAGAGTATTTAACTGTGATTAAGTTATCACAATAGCTCATCTATTTAAAAAAAAGGCGTATATATTATTAATATGAAAAAATAAAAAATGAAAGAAGGAAGAAAGAAAAAGGATAATCCGGGATCGGTGGAGGACCAAATGGCTCGGCGGGGTGCCGAATAATATAAAATAATAAGGATAAAGACTTAAAATTGAAAAATAAAATAACATGACAGTCGTTCCGTGCAGAAGGGATAATAAAAACAATTATGAAGTTACTGTACATTTTGTGCTAAGTTCATAGGAAACTCATAACGTCCCGAAAGATGCCCCCAGCGACATCTCGGGGCGTTAACATAACGTTTTTTAAAAAAGGTGAAGTGAATAAACAACTTACTCGTATATGGGCCCTTGGCCAGTAAATAATCAAAATGAATTTAAGAAATTCCTTCACTGATTTCGATTTTTAAAAAATTAACAGACTTCCATCAAAAAGTAATATTCAGTAAACATGTCGGTGTATTCGAAAAAATAATTATATTTATATATTATCTGTTGACAATAAAAGTGGCTGGTCTTCACCATATCAACCAGCAAAATGACTCACTCTCATTTCAAAATTTAGCAGAATTTTTGGATGAATCTAATCTAGCCCATAGAACATTTAAAAATGCGGTTTTAAGCATGGTAAAATCCAAAAAATTATGTAACACGTTTTAAGCACACGTAAATACTCTTGCAAAAAATAAAGACAGATAAAACAACTTTAGCCAGAGCAAATAATGAGACACGAAAGCTCAAACCTTCTCCATCCTTCAAAACTTCTATCGATTCTAGTTCTGATTCCAAACTCAATCACAATCAAAATTCCAGATTGCCTTCTAAACAATTATTATAGTCAGATACACCTCATTAAAAAATTATCCCCCCTTTTTGTACAGTGGAATCATTTCCAAGTCTATTTGAACTTTTCCCAAGTCAAGGGTTTTACAACAAAAAATGTAGTAGCTCTTTCGAAATTCCAAGTCAAATGAATCCTTTTCTTATTAGTTGAAACTCTTTCCAAAGCTTATGCAATCTTTACAACTTAATTGTTACCCGTATTATTTCAATTTGAAAAATATTCAAAATTGCCCATATAATGGATGAAGTTGGGGCCCCAGAATTCAAGGGGAGAAATAATCATAAATTAACTTTTAATTAAACTAATTTTTTTAAAAACAATGGTTTTTTCTTATTAAACATAATTGCTAAAGATAAACAAAAAATTATCAGACAGAACAGTTTCTTCTTTTTTTAATTTCCTTAGGCATCGTTCTGTAGTCAATCATGCCTGCCTCCTCAAGAATGATATTTAGAATAAACTAATAAATAGAGAGCACGTTCTGGCCATGTTCTTTGATCTCGAGAACATGATATACTATGGAGACATGTTGGGATGTCAGATTCAGAGACAAATCACCTTGCTTCATCAAGGCTGTATGGAGGAACCGAATGGACTTTGTTAAAGAGAATAAAACCAAGAGTCAGTGATGAGGATTACACTTTTTCTCAATTGCAGTGAACAGTATTGACGGCGTCCCCCGAATAATCGTACAATTACTGAATGTTGACATCTGCTTTTACTTTTTGGAAAAAGATCTGCTGGCAGAGATACAGTGTGCATCCACTTTGACAGACTGAGGAGCCTCCACACTTCTATCTGAGAGGTACCACAATAAGGTTTATAGAGTTGGCGAAGTTTCTCGGCCTCACGTTTAATCAAAAGTTAAGGTGGCAGCCATACATTTATGTCATTAAAGTGAAGGGAGGAAAGGTGGTAGCACTATTAAAGCTCATTGGTCACTTCGTCTAGTTTACAGACAGAGAGACCCTCCTGAAAATGTTTGACTCGCTCAACCTTGTTTTATGGTTGCAAAGCCTATTCTTCAGCCTTGAATGTGACCCCTGGGAATATGCTTTAGTGGAGCCTTAGGAAGGGCTGGGATGACAACGCAATTGGTACTCAAGTTGAGCAGCCAGCCAACTCCTTGGGGGGGGGTCCTTATGGCCATATCGTCGAGTAGGCCTAGTCGTTTACCCCAATCCCACCTTTACCAAGCTAAGTTCTTGGAACTTAGATCAAAGTACACCGATTTTCACCTTGTCTTCATATACGGTCCCATAGTGTTGACTGTATGTCAAGCACTGCATGGCAAGAATGTGTTCGCTTTGTGGTCATTCCTGCTGCACTGTGGTGTTTACATGTCGGAATTGTCTGTGATTTTACGCTTGCTTAAGGAGTTCATGGGATCTCCCGGAATTTGAGTCAATTCTGGACCCCAGATACTTTGAACTGGTTAGGGCTTGAAGATGTATTTAATGTAAAATGTATCGAGTGTAGTTTTCATTTATCAAATCCTGAGAAAATGAAGTTAAAATGATAATTTAATGCATTTTAATGATTAAACATAATCCACTTATTGTGAAATGTGTAGAAATAATTTGTTTTTATCTTTTTGTTGTAACAGGGGAGTTGTGTGAGGACAATGGGCAATCTTCATTCTGTAAAAAACTTATTGAATGTCCAACAGCCCAATCTGCCATTAGGCATGGTAAAAGACCTGAAATATGTGGTTTTGATGGTATTCTGCCTATAGTGTGTTGTCCACCTTCTGCAGAAATGGACACGACCACACTCAGAGAACAATGGGGTATAACATCCACAGAATCTTGGAATTCTTTCCAACCTCCAACAACCAGAAGAAATTCTAATCGGCGAACTTCTAAATCTAAACAAAGTAAGTCTTAGTAATTACAATTCCTTGTTTTACTTCTCTTTAATATATTTCATACCTAACCCCTGGATGAAAAGAAAAACTTTATTAATCCCCCCTTAGTACAAATGAAATTAATTTAATAGAAAATTAAGAATATTCTTCTTTTAGTGTGTCAGAAGTATGCGGAATATGTGTATAGAATTGTAGAAAGTCCTTCTTTACTTGATTCTGGTGTTGAAAAAGTAAACGAGTGTGCACTCATTGAAGAAACATTGATTGTTGGTGGGACTTTTGCTTCGTTAAATGAATTTCCACATATGGTAGTTGCTTATTCATTTATGTAAAATCTTATTTATAAATAGCTTTGTTTGAATTATATTATGTTTAGGTGCATATTGGTTATGGAGAAGAGCCAAGAATATCTTACCTATGTGGAGGTAGTTTGATCAGCGAACGCTTTGTACTCTCTGCAGCACACTGCACAAAACCAAGGCATGTGTTTAACAGTTTTTTTTTTCACTTTTTTCTAATTTTTCTTGGAATTATTAAAAAAATCTTACTACTTTTATATATAAATGCTTATTTTTGAATCAATCACCAATAATTAAATTTTAGGGGTCTGGCAAAATGGGCACGATTTGGTAATTTAAACCTACAAAACAGCAGAACTTTTAAACAGATTATCCTGAGAATTATTCGTCATTATAATCACCCAGAATATGATTCTGTTCGACTCTACAATGACATTGCCCTTTTCAAACTGGAAAAAGATGTACCTCTCAGTCCAGAAATCAGGCCTGTATGCCTGCAAACAGATTTTTCATTTTCAAGTACTTCAGCTATTGCCACAGGATGGGGGCATGTCAGTTGGGGTATGGAAAAAGGCAAATCCATTGTAATAAATATTATTAATTGACTTATTAGTTAATAACTTTATGTTTGTCAGTTTAACTGTTCAAAAATATTGATTAATGAAACTATCGTGTACTCTTAATACTAACTTGTGCATATAAAAATAATTAACATTTGTAAACTTAACCTTATAAATATTTTGCAGGTGGTTTTTCAAGTGATCGCTTAAAAAAGGTAACCTTGAATATAGTTGACTCTGCTACGTGCAACAACTCTTTTAGGAGCAGCATTGGCGGCAGTCAATTACCATATGGGATTTTAGATAAAACAATGATTTGCGCTGGTGATGAAAGAGGGAAAGATGCATGTCAGGTATGAGAACATATTAAAGAAAGTATTATATTATAGTTTTTAAATATTATTTTTATTGTGTTTTGAAGGGTGATTCTGGTGGCCCACTGCAGATTACTCTCAAAAAGCCGTATTGTATGTACTCCATAATTGGTATAACCTCATTCGGTAAAAATTGTGGACAAAGTATCCCGGGTGTGTATACAAGGGTTAGCCACTTTATTCCTTGGATTGAAAGTATAGTCTGGCCTTAAGCTTCATAGTTTTAACTATCTGTTCTTCTTTACTATTATTGTATTAAGCTAGTCACTGTGATTACTGATTGAAGCAATTGACTGTCACTAGTTTTATAACTTAAAATGGAAATTGTGCCATATATATATATNATATATATATATAATCAACATGTTTATTTTACAACATTGGAAAGAAATGACAGTAATTTTGCGTTGGATCCTATTTTGTTTTGTGATATATATATATATATATATAATCAACATGTTTATTTTACAACATTGGAAAGAAATGACAGTAATTTTGCGTTGGATCCTATTTTGTTTTGTGATATTTTATAAAAATATACAATAAAATCACAGGTTTACTCTACATTGTATAAAATCTTATCTCTAAAATGCTCTTCTAAGAAGCCTTTCTTTTGTAATAGGGAAGAAGTACAAACACCTACATGATTATTGCAGCTCATTTCTTAACAGATGTACAAATATGTAGTATCATTATGATATAAATAACACTAGATGACATTTTGATCACAAAACTTGCCTTATTTATTTGTTTAATAATCTTATACCTAAGTGACAAGATGTCTTGTTGATTATTTATAAAATTGATTGTATTTAAAGGGTATTTAATTTTTTAATAAATGAAAGTGTTACATATGTATGTTGTTTTTCATGTGTTCAAAATACTAATGTAAACCTTGTGTCCAGAGCTTTGTAGTTACTGATGTAATCATGTTGCCTATATATATATAAATCTTTACACTAGGCAACATGATACAATGATCCCTGAAATCAGGGAACAAGTTATAAATACATATGAGTCATTAAAGAGGCCATATAGATCAGATTTTAATGGTCTTATCTCCCAGCACTAAGCTCAAAGGAGTCTCGAGATAGTCCGCAAGGATATCCGAAAGCACTGAAAAATCACTACCATACCATTTTCTTAAGTCAAAACAATCAGTTTTTAGCAATTCAGTAAGTTGATGTCGAAGCTCCACCTCTTTTTCGAGGCTTTCTGACCCACTAATGGTATCGCCCATTCTTCGTCAGGGCTCATGATGTAAGAGGTCCATCCTTGTGATCCATCATCCTCAATTAAGTGCGAATTAAAGACTGAGCCAAATAGGCAGAAGTAAAACCATAAGTTAGAATTTGAAGTTCATACTTCACTACCATACTTTATCTTTAGAGGGTCTCCAAAACACGTCATGCTGATCCTGAGAATTAAGATAGATGTTTCTATACATCATTCTCATGTTGGTGAAAAGCGCAACGGCGTATGGCCGGAAAAATATCAAAATGTCACCAATTTAGGGTTGTAATTTTAGGCCAGAGAGAAGTCGATCGTTAAGAGAACCCTTGACGTTGTGAGAGGAAGCATTACTTCGGTGGTCGAGGAGGACTCTTTGTTCACCCAATAATGACGCAAAACGTAAGAGGACTGTAAACTAGCGGATGGCCTAAAGAGAAGTATTTTTCCATAAATGTCTGATAGGGTTCAGACATAACTGCACTGCAAAACAACCGACGTTCGAGAGACAAGAAACCGTTGTTAGGCCTGACCCCCCCCCCGGACCATTACCAACGGAGGAAGACTCTGGCTTGAAGGAAAGTGAGGCCGGAGTCCTCACGATAAGGAGTGGACTTAAAATGTTGTTCACACAGTTCATCCTCCGGATTCAATGGTTGTTTAGTTTCATCATCTTATTTCCCAAAAGCGGCGAAAATCCGCTTCAGATCCATCAGTTATTGTCAAAAAAGATTTCTTTATGAAGTCGGTCTGAGAAACTCTACCAAAAATGGTTTCCTGTTCCCCAGGAAGGATTGAATAATTTTTAACTAGAATTTCGGAGACATAGTCTTGCTCCATTCAAGAGATTGATGGAAGCTGGAAGGTGAAAGCGTTCATCAGGAAGTTTTAAATTTGTAAATTTGGAGAGCAAATCAGGAGGCAGCGGAGCCATGGGAAGAGGGCATGTTTGACAAAATCAATGCCTCAATCAATCCAATCAATAGGGCACTCTCAACACGACACGCAAGGATGACACAGAAGACAAACACTTTCAGCCCTGAAGATGATCTCAATAAAGATCGAAACGTTAGCACGATAAAGAAAATGTTTTTCTGAAAACCTACATCACACCCGACCGCTTCTCACGATATCTGAATAACTATCGATTAACGGTCACTAATCTCTACACACGTTAAGAATTTTGTTTTTTTCAAAAGTTGCTGTATCTATATGAACTATTTCATACTGTTTAGTAGGGTTAGGTGTTATGTTGAATATGAGTTGTCTTCTATAGTATTTCGTCACTTTACAAATCTCATATCTGTTGATGAAATTTTGAATTGATTTTCTCATGGTTGGCCAATAATAACGTTTGATTCTTTCTGTAGTTTCTTCGATTCCTGTATGGTTTGTTTTTCCAGTGTGATAATTTTCAATGATTTCTAGTTGTTCTTCCTCAAATACGTCTATTAATTTTGTCGTGTTTGAAAAACTTGAGTTCTGAGTGTTTAAAGTGTTTTACCATTACGGTTACTACATGGCCTAAATATTTTCCAAAATTCCGTTTTGTCTAACTTTATCTTGAGATTGGCTTCTCGTATTCCTGTAAAGACGGCTCTTAAATCGTGAATATGTTCTTGTACACCTGAACTATAAATTATGATATCGTCAAGGTATACCATGACGTTTTTAAACCTCTTAGAATGTTTTTAGAATCCATGACTCTTTGGAATATCCTAGGTGAATTCTTCAATCCAAAAGGCATCCATAAAAATTCGTAATGGCCTTAGTCTACGCTAAAAGCAGTTTTTTGGACACTTTCTGGGCTCATTTCGACCTGATGGAAACCTGAGGTTAAATCCAGAGTGCTAAAATCATTACACTTTCCTAATTTATCAAGGAAGATCAGTTATATTTAGAATCGGATATTGATCATCTATTGTCTTTTCGTTTAGTTTGTGGTAGTCTACTACTATCCGCCATTTTTGTTTTCCAGAGTTATCCAATTTCTTTGGAATGACCCACACTGGTGCATTCCAAGGGGAATGTGATGGTTGAATAATTTTTTGTTCCAATAATTTTCCTACTTGTTCTTGGATTTCTTGTCTGTGTATTTCTGGATATCTATATGTTTTAGTATAAATTGGTGTTTCGTCTTTAGTCCTAATTACGTGTTTGATTTGTGAAAGTCAGGTGTGTGTTTTCCTGGTAAAATATATCATTAATTCCTTTGTCAATTTTTTAATAGCTAATGTTTCTTCTGAATTCATGTGATCTGTTCTGATTTTAGTTAGGTCTACTTAATTTGATTTGACTTGATGATTTTTGTTCTAATGGGATAACTTCGTTAAAATTCGAGTTTTCCAATTGGATAGGAGCTTCTAATTTAAATTCCTAACTTACATCACTAAAATTTGTAACTACGCAAAACGCTTCGTGATCCTCTACTTTTACTAGGCATTCTTTTATCTCGCAATTATTATAGCTTATATGGGGAACAATCGCTTCACCAGATTTTACATTTTTTATGGGCATGTTTATAATTTGTTCACCTATGTTATATATTGCAGTTTCGTTACTGTTTTTTTGATATGGGATTTTCAACATTGGCGTGATGAGCTGATTATTTTCAAGATTGATACGAGTGTTCAGATATGTAAGAGCGTCTAAGCCTAATAAGAGATCGAATTTTTCGTCAAAATTTAAATATTCTAAATTTTAATTGTAATCCGCTAATAATTTGAAATAGATCGTTAAATGGAATAAATGTACTAAATTTTTTGGTCGGGGTTCCATGTGCCGAAGTAATTTTAAACGGATCTAATTTTATTGAGTTTTTATGTTTGTGCGCTATTTCAGGATTGACGAAGGATGTAGTACTACCTGTGTCGATTAAAATTGTGAGGGGTGGGTTTCTAAATTCTATATATGGGAGGCTTGCTTGGCTGCATTGTGTCATGATATTCATTGTGATATTCGGGTAGAGGCTTGTGTTTTCTAAAAAATGATCCATAGGTTCCAAGCTCGACTGATTTTGGTGTTGTGAATTTAGTGGTGGTTGTTTGGTTATTTAAGTGATGAATTTCTTCTACAGTGTAATTTGGACGGTGTTGACCGAATTTGGAATTTTGCTGTGTGTAAAAATTATTGGGTTCTCTGAACGATTGCTTCTTTGTATCGACATGGGTGTCGGTTTGATGTCAAGTCCGTTCGCAGGGCGAACATAGTGTTTTGTGAACTTTGTGTGTTAGGTTTTGTGGGAAATTAGAATACTGATTGGGGAATCTTGCTGAGTGTCTACTCTGTGGCTGAAAGCGAGGTTTCCTTGACGGATAATTGTCTGGTTCCTGAAATGTTTTCAAGAACTGAAAATCATTCATGAAGATATTTAGTGCTTCTGTGAAATTACTTGGGTTCCTAGTCCGCATAAGTGAGACTAGGGGTTCTTTTAGACCTCTTAGTAAGAAACGGAGTGCGTCACCTCTCGCATAATCAATTAAAGTGTTGGAATGAAAGAGATTGTGGTTTTTAAAATATGCTGTTTGTAAGTTTAACAAGTTCTGTACTCGTTGATAGAACTCATATGGTTTTTCATTTTGTTGTGTAGTCTAGAGATTTCAATCTGGAGAGTGAATGCATCCCTTTTGTAAGCATATCCCTCTAACAATGCAGTTTTTAAATCTGCCCAGTTTGACACGTTTACTATTTTCAATCACTTGAGCTGCAGGTCCTTTTATCTTATTTCTTAAACATGAAAGCAGGTATACATTTTGGAAGTTATTAGGGTGGTTAATATCTACAAATGTGTTAACTAATTTTTGTGATATGTCTATGAATCGTGTTAGAACAGTTGGGTCTCCTTGAATTCCGGGACCATGTCCAGAAATTCTCTTTTAAATTCTGGGAGAGCCATTTTGGATATTTGTTAACAATTAATAAAAATTTTCTTTTTTTTAAGAATATTACAAATTTAAATGAGAAAATTATTTTAATTAATGTCTTACATAAAAATGAGAGCTCCTACGACCATATTCACTGATACCGAGGGCCTAGAAGTTCGATGTCGTTGTTCGGGAGAAAAGTTCATATGTGCTGAACACTTCACCGATTGGTGATTGTCTGATTGTTGATTAACCGTTGAAACGGAAGTTACTCAATATTCATTCAATAACTTTCGACAATGTCCTGTCCGACTGCGCCAGTTAAATAATTTCTTTTGTTGAATGCATTTTTAAAAACTTTTATTCCAAAAATTACAAATAAGTACTGATGTACATTCAGTTCTTTTAGTTCTAACTTAAAACTAACTCGTTTGTTAAATGAAAATCCTTATCAAATCTCTAGAATGGGAGAGTGTTGATGACAATTCTAGGAGCAACACCTGCACCCTAGCATTGTCATCACCTTATTTATTTAACAAAATAGTGATATATATATATATATACAACGCTTACATGCAGGTGTCATTCCTAGTATTGTAGTCAGCACCTTCTCCCTCCCAAGAGACCTACTTATTTAATTCTGTATTTTTAATAATGATTCCTTGCCTAGAGCTTGATGAGAGTACATCGTTAAATTAGGTTAAAACTTGTTCTTGTAACTTCAAATAAAGTTTTTTTTAAAAAGGAATCCGCAGTTGAAGTTATTTAACTGGCGCAGTCGGTAGGACGGCAAAGGATCTCAAGAGGACATTGAAGATCATCTGTTTCTACAGTTAACTTGCCGACCGAACATCATCTGCAATTTGAAAGGAACATGGTATACCTTGAAGTAATACTGTAAGTTCATAAAATTTTATTATTTTTCGATTGTTATTTTATTTTCAAATGTACACAAACATTTACTTAAAATTAAGTATAAAATATAGGTGTTTGTTAAACTGAGTAAAATAATAAAAATAATACTAATCATAATAATAAAAAGAATAATAATAATAAAAAATAAAAATAATAATAATTTTTTTTACGAATAACATAAAAGGAATAAAATTGTAAAATAGCTTTGAATAGGATTCAAGAGTTAAATTTTGGTATAAAATCAAATTCCTACCTTTGATGGTAATCCAAACCATCTAAATAGTTTCATTTCTGCCGTAAATGAAATTCAAGTTCTTTTTGGTACGCTGAACCCTGACCTAACCGAATACAAAAAAGCAGTTGCCTTCTTAGGTATAAAATCGAAATTAATAGGGAAGGCTAGGGAACAGACGAAAAACCACACATTTCACACATGGCATGGCATGAAAAATCATTTGCTGAATAGTTTCAGACAGACATCTAACTTAGAGACAATAATGAATGAAATCTTGAGTTTACCAGCAACAACAAATACAAATTATATGAAGAGACACAAGACAGATTCTTTGAATTTAAAGGCACACTCGGACTAGAAAACTACAATGACCAACAGCAAGAAGCGGTCAGCGAAGTAGTCGAAAAATGGGTGGTTCACAACTTCATTGGGAAAACTGAACGAACCATTCAGAAGTAACTTAGCTAATAGAAATCCGAAAACTCTGCCTGAAGTCGGAAGTCTTCTTCACAACGATTATCAATACCTAAAACAACATAATTTCACAACACGACCTCAATTTATTAATAAATCACCCGGTAATCAACGATTCTTACATTAAGGGGCGACATCTCAATTTAAAAATTTCACAAAGGAACCAGGAAATTCCCAACAGACTCATTACCAACAAAACATGTTTGCACCCAAACAACAGATTCACAACGGGCAAAACATACACCCAACACCTATGAGCATTTCCACACGGGGTACGCAACAAAACCCCACATTCAACCGCAACATTCACAATTTTAATAAAACTTCTGGACAAAACAGGTATAAATTAGAAGGGTTAAATAACGTTGCAACTACGGAAAATTTTGAAGACAACGAGTCTCAAAATGACTTTGAATATGATTTAACAGAAAATTTTTCAGGGGATATAGAAACAAAAGAACTACGTCAGAACCATTTTTTAGAGGATGGAGAAAAATTCCCGAATATCACTTCAATAATACTACCGAAAGCATACTACCATATATTTTATTCCCGAATAATAATTTAAAAATCCTTATCGATACAGGTAGTACGAAATTGTTTATCAAACCAAATATTGCTAAAACATACTTTAACGCAAAATTTAAATTCAAACCATTTAAAATCCAAACAGCCCATGGAACATCTTTAGAAAAATACAGCACTGTCATAAATTGCTCCGAATTATTCAACTTTGATTCTCTCTTCCTAGAATTCACTGTGTTTTATTTTCACGATTATTTCGATATTTTAATCGGGCTCGACAATCTACAAAAGCTGAACGCCCACATAGACTTCAGAACAAACACACTTAGCACTCCTCGTCAGAAAATTAAAATTCTCTATTATCAAATACCTAAATCGAACCACAACATAATAAACAGGAATTCAAAAACAATGGTAAAAACTAGAAACACCAGAAAAGAGGAAATTAAAAACCCAATTTTTGTAGAAAATTTTGAAACTTCACACACTCTAACATCTGAGAGTCAAATGACGGAACCCATGGTTAATTTAATTAGAACCGACCATATGAATTTTGAGGAGAAAGCAGCAACAACAAAAATTATTAAAGAGTTCAACGAAATATTTCACACAAACGGTAAAGCACTCTCATTTACAAATAAAATTAAACATTACATCAGAACCACAGACGAAATACCGGTTTACACTAGGTCATACAGATACCCTGAAATCCACAAACACGAAATAGAAAAACAAATTAACGAAATGCTTAGTCAAAAAATCATCCAAAATTCGCACTCTCCATGGAATTCTCCAGTATGGATAGTACCCAAAAAACTAGACGCATCAAAACAAAAGAAATGGAGCCTAGTTATCGATTACAGAAAATTAAATGAGAAGACCATTGACGACGTATATCCTATACCGAATATAACGGAATTGTTAGACAAATTGGGACGCAGTCAATATTTCACCGTGTTGGACTTAACATCGGGTTTTCACCAAGTAGAACTTGAACCGTAAAGCATTCCTAAAACGGCCTTTTCTACGGACAACGGTCGAGTTCCTCAGAATGCCGTTCGGATTGAAAAATAGCCCACGAACATTCCAACGGGTAATGAACAATGTACTGTCAGGATTAAAAAATTGTCAAATCTATCTCGATGATGTAATTATATATAGCACTAGTCTTCAGGAACATGTAGAAGACATAAGAAGAGTCTTAACCCGCTTAAAAGATGCAAATCTAAAAATTCAGTTAGATAAGACGGAATTCTTTAAAAAGGAAGTAGCTTATTTGGGTCACATTGTAACTCCTGAAGGCGTGAAACCTAACCCCGATAAAATACGTGCTATTGAAAAATTTACAATCCCCCGAACAGCCGAACAACTCAAAGGGTTCCTCGGACTCCTCGGTTATTACAGAAAATTTATCGCCAATTTCGCTGAATTAACGAAACCACTAACGCGTAAATTAAAAAAGGGAGCCACCATCAACGCCAATGAATTGGAATACAAGGAATGTTTTGAGAAATGTAAACATATATTGATAAACGAACCGATCCTTAAATACCCGGACTATTCAAAACCTTTTTCCCTAACAACGGACGCCAGCAATGTTGCATTAGAGGAGCTGTCCTAAGTCAGAATTTCAATGGTAGAGACCACCAATCGCATATGCCAGCCGCACGTTGTGTGAATCGGAAACGAAACTATCAACAATTGAAAAGGAATTACTTGCGATCGTCTGGGCTACTAAATGCTTTAGGCCGTACCTTTATGGTAGAAAATTCCAAATCCTAAGTGATCACCGCCCGTTACAATGGTTATTCTCTATGAGAGAACCAAATTCAAAGTTATTGAGGTGGAGATTAAAATTAGGAGAGTTCAATTTTGATATTAAATATAAAAAAGGATCTGAAAATGTGATCGCGGACACATTGTCAAGAGTGGAAATTATTCCAAATCACTCATCGACGAAAAAATTGACCATATAAGTGTGCACAGAACCAACCGACAACGTCGAGGACTTATTAATGGACTTGGATCAGTTATAAAATTTATTACAGGAAACCTAGACAACACAGACAAGGAAAACTTTGACAATCTTATCAATCAAATTAAAGACAACCAAATAGATATTGAAAATCAAATCAAATCTATGTACTCTGTAAATAATGAATTAATTATAAATTTCAATGAAACTATTCAAACACTTCAGACAAATGGCGAAGAATTGGAATACAAAATAAATTTAATAGGACGGAAAATAAAATACCAAGCAGAAATAATTGAAATCAAGGATGCATTTCACCAAATTCAGATACTATATGAACTGCTCTTCAATACTCTTCAGGACATTGAAAATTCCTTAACATTCTGTAAATTACAAATCATGCACTCACGTATAATGAGTAGTAATAATTTATTTAAAGAATTAAAACGATTAGAATATTATTTAAAACCTCACCTCTTGCTAGAAGTAAAATTTGAAGATTTATTAAATTTTGAAAATATGTTAAGAATGCATTGTACGATCGATACCGATCTTAGGGTAACTTATTTCCTCCAACTGCCTATATTTTCTGAGGAAATTTTTGAATTATTTAACTTATATCCCATTCCAAGAAAATATAAAAATGAATTTTTTACTATAATACCAGATGCATATTATGTGTTAAAATCGAAAAATAATAAAATTATAACTCTTAATGGAGGCTGTTTAAAGCACAAGGTATACCAGTGTTCCAAAAGATTAATATCCACTCATCAAGATTCCTGTACAGAAGAACTCCTGCTGACTGGAAACACTACACTTTGCAAATTCAGTAAACTCACAGTCCAGGATAATCAACTAGTCTTTATTCCGTTAATCAACCAATTTCTGGCAGTATTCACAACCCCGGATAAAATCAAGATACTACAACATAACTTCATCGAAACTAAAGCCATGGAAGGAATATTTCTCATTAAGGCTAAGAATGAAGAAATGATGTACAAAACAAGCCGCTAATCTTCGAATCGTTCACTTATGGAAAACCTACCTTGATACAAAACATCAACCTATTAATTTCACCGAAGCAATCTTCAGGGATTACCATAAAACTATGGAACTTCAACCTAAAGAAGATTTCGCCGAATACCTTTAACTCAATAAATATCTCTACCAATATGTTTACCTATCCTACCATATGGACATGTATACTGTATTTTATATTCATTGTAATCATCATATGTTGTATAATTAGCTATAAGAAATTGGAAAGATATGTACTCTCAAATTTTATGAAAAATAATGTTGATATAGAAAGTGAAGTAAATTTAGAACCCCAGGGTATATATAAGTTATATACGAGTATAAACATTGTGTTAAATAAATAATATGATGACAATGCTAGGATGCAGGTGTTGCTCCTAGAATTGTCATCAGCACTCTCTCCCACTCTAGAAATTTTATAAGGATTTTCATTTTAACAAACGTTAGTCTTAAGCCAGATTTACAAAAAACATATCGACGAGATTTGATTTAGATTCATAAAGTTCTGAATGTATATCAGTAACTTATTTGTAATTTCTTTGAATAAAAGTTTTTTAAAAACACATTCGTCCAAAGAAATTATTTAACTGGCGCAGTCGGTCTGGACATTGTCGAAAGTTATAATCGAGTAACTTTCCGTTTTAACGTTAATCAGCAATCGGACAATCAATGATCGGTGAAGAGTTCAACGCATATGAACTTTTCTCCCGAACAACGACATCGAACTTCTAGGCCCTCAGAACCAGCGAAAATGGTCGTAGGAGCTCTTGTTTTCATGTAAGAAACATTTAAAATAATCTCATTTAAATTTGTAAAATTATTAACATATTCTTAAAAAACGAAAATTTTTATTAATTGTTAACAAATATCAAAAATGGCTCTCCCAAAATTTAAAAGAGAATTTCTGGACATGATTCCGGAATTCAATGGAGACCCAACCGTTCTTACGCGATTCATAGACATATCGGAAAAATTAGTTAACATTTGTAGACACTAACCACCCTAATAATTTCCAAAATGTATACCTGCTTTCATGCTTAAGAAATAAGATAAAAGGTCCTGCAGCTCAAGTGATTGAAAATAGTAACGTATCAAACTGGGCAGATTTAAAAACTGCATTGTTAGAGGGATACGCCGAGAAAAGGGACGAATTCACTCTCCACATCTCTAGACTAACACAACAAAACGAAACACCGTATGAGTTCTATCAACGAGTACAAAACCTTTTAAACTTACAAATAGCATATTTTAAAAACCACAATCCCCTTCAATCCAACACTTTAATTGATTATGCGAGAAGCGTCGCACTCCGTGTCTTACTAAGAGGTCTAAAAGAACCTCTAGGCTCACTTATGCGGACTAGGAATCCAAGTAATTTCACAGAAGCATTAAATATCCTTACGAATGATTTTCAGTTCTTGAATACTTTTCAGGAACCAGACAATTATCCTTCAAGGAAACATCGATTTCAACCACCTATTGGACACCCAGCAAGATTCCCCAATCAATATCTTAATTTCCCTCAAAATACAAAATCTAACACACAAAACACCATTTTCGCACCGCGAATTCAAGCCGCGAACGGACGTGACATCAGACCGACACCCATGTCGATACAAAGTAGACAATCGTTCAAAGAACCCAATAATTTTTTCACGCAGCAAAATTCCAAATTCGGCCAACACCGTCCAAATTACACGGTAGAAGAAATTCATCACTTAAATAACCAGACAACCGCCACAGAAAATTCACAACACTAAAATCAATCGAGCTCGAAACCCATGGATCATTTTTTAGAAAACAAAAGCCTCTACCCGAGTATCACTTGACACAATGCAACCAAGCAAACCTCCCATATATAGAATTTAGAAACCCACCTCTCAAAATTTTAATTGATACAGGTAGTACAACATCCTTTATCAATCCTGAAGTAGCACACAAACATTTTAAAAAATCAATAAAATTAGACCCGTTTAAAATAACTTCGGCACACGGAAACTCGACCGAGAAATTTAGTACATTTATTCCATTTAACGATCTATTTGAAATTAGCGGATTACATTTAAAATTTAGGATATTTAAATTTCACGAAAAATTGATCTCTTATTAGGCTTAGACGCTCTTACATATCTACTTAATCGATCTTGAAAATAATCAGCTCGTCACGCCACACACTACGTTGAAAATCTCGTATCAAAAAAACAATAACTAAACTGCAATATATAATATAGGTGCGAGTGCAGAACAAATAAAAGTTCCCATAAGAAATGTAAAATCCGGTGAAGCGATCGTTCCCCATATAAACTATAATAATTGTGAGATAAAGCATTGCAAGGGCACTGATAATAAAGTCGCTGATGCGTTATCACGTGAACTAAATGTGAACTATGATGACACAGGAGACAAAGAAGTCAATGACTTCCTTACGCAATTCTTTCTAGAAAATCCGGACATCGCGGAAGAAGTTTTCAAAAACCCTAATGAAATACAGGAAAACCAATCAGTTATCGTAAATTTAGACGAACTTGAAAATGACAATGGAACGGACATTGAGACAGTTCACTCCAACGCGGAAGGAAATACGATAATAACCATCCCCATTATCGAAGGACCGGTTAATATCGGGAAAAACCAAATAATTATATCATTAGTAGAACAGTCCCACTAAACCGAAAATAATAAAGTTAAATGAAAACAAAACAAGGCTCATAATTCAAATTTCAAAAACAAACTTCGAATCAGACATTATAGAGTTCGTAAAAACATATATAGTCCCGAAAACAAAATACTCCCTTTTCTTCGAAGACGACATTTATGAACAATTTAGCTCCGTAATGGTAAAACACTTTAAACACTCAGAACTCAAGTTTTTCAAACACACGACAAAATTAATAGACGTATTTGAGGAGGAAGAACAATTAGAAATCATTGAAAACTACCACACTGGAAAAACAAACCATAGAGGAATCGAAGAAACTACGGAAAGAATCAAACGTTGTTATTATTGGCCGAACATGAGAAAATCAATTCAAAATTTCATCAACAGATGTGAGATTTGTAAAGTGACGAAATACGACAGAAGACCGTTAAAACTCAAATTCAACATAAACACCCACAAACAGAAAACTCTTTTGTTACATCAAAAGATTAATGAACTAAATTCGAAAATCAAAGAAACAACTATAGCAACGCTAAACCGAGAGAGAGAGAAGAATTACCTGATATCCCCGAAGAGGTATATATACGAAATAAACAAAAACAAAGTAAAACAAAAAACAAATATAAAAAACAAACGCTAAAATCAATCAACAGAACTCTGAAATTAGGTAAACTAAATGCACAACACTATAACACACAAAGTAAAATCCACTTGTCAGATGTTCAAAGACCTAGGAAAACCACTCAAAAAATGGACGCTGTTCCAGGTCCATCCTCAGCTGTTATACAAACGGACTGAATATCAAAAACATCACAACAAACCCTGGTATACTACCCATAAGGCTAGGAAAAGCGAAAATCCAACAAACACACCACACTCTTATTCATTACTACAATGTTACAGAATTAGACACCAAATTCAGTGAGTTAAACGTTAATTATTTGAAAATCTTTGAGCTGGCAAAAACCGACACTGATATAAAGAAAAAATTAAATAATTATTTTAAAATTATTAATTATGAAGGCAGTGTAATAAGCAAAAAACTAAATGCGTTAATTGTACAGAGAAAATTTAGAATAAAAAGAGGAATAATAAACGGTTTAGGATCCATCGTAAAATTCATAACAGGTAACTTAGACGCCTATGATGGCGAAAATTATGAAAAAATGTTAGCAGATATAAAGAATAATGTAAATAACTTTAATTATCAATTAAATAGTCAATACTCTGTAAACAATATGTTAATAAAAAATTATAAAGATTTGATTAAGGAAATAAATATTAATAATGTAGAATTAAAAAATAAAATTGTAGAACTTAATAATATCATTAGGGATAATAATAAGGACATTTATGTATTAGAATTAGAAAATATGCTTAACCAACTTGTTATATTATTTGAATTAATCTCTGATATGCTAAGGGAAATAGAAAATTCTATTGTATTCTGTAATCTAGGGAGACTACATCCCAGTATAATCAAACCTAGAGATATGTTTAATGAATTAAACAAATTATTAAAACATTATCCCGGTGGATTTCCATTTGAACTAAAACTAGAGAATATCCTAAAACTTGAATCAATGGTAAAAACTAAATGTAAATATTATAATAATGAAATTGTGTACTATTTGTCACTACCTGTAACGCAACAAACAGATTATGACCTGTATTGTCTACTTTCCATTCCATCTTATTACAAAAACAAATTTATAACTGTGCTGGCAGAGTACAAATACTTTTTGAAGTCAAGAGACAATTCGATTATCCAACCACTGAAAAAACTGTGCCCTGAAATCAACGGAGTTTACCTTTGCTCCACCGAGGAGGAGGTTCATCAAGCAACACCTTGCGGCGAGAATATATTGCTTCATGAAAACATGGAACATTGCCAGATTGCTGACATCAAAATAGCCAACAATTTACTGCAACGAATTCCAGAAATTAACCAATACCTAGCAATTTTTGCGAAACCTGACACTATTAAAATAGAAACTTCAAGTGGCCTGGAAATGCATAAATTGAAAGGGTTGTTCCTCATAGATGCAGAAGACAGCACTCTATTCTACAGGAACAAGGAGGTTAACCTACAGACTCGCACTTCTGGAAGACCACGCTGGTTGAGTGGCTTGTCGTTCCCAATGGAAAAGATGAAGAACCTGAACATCACCGCTCATCTACAAAAATTGGAAATGGACATACCAACCTTCATCCACAACATTCAAGAAACTCCATCTGTACATGTTAATCCCAGCCTTTGGACTATCCTTCTGTATATAATTCTACCCGTCATATTAACTGTAATCACTATTATTTTGTATAGATATAAGAAAAGTATGTTAGCCTTAAGTAACCACAGGTGTGGTTTATTGCAAATGTAAAATAATACGTTAGAATAGAATAAATTAGTTCAAATTTTTATAATTGTCATATTTTTCTTTTTTTTTTCACGAGCTTCCAGGGAAGCTCTCTCTAAGGGGGGAGGAGTTATATACGAGTATAAACATTGTGTTAAATAAATAATGTGATGACAATGCTAGGATGCAGGTGTTGCTCCTAGAATTGTCATCAGCACTCTCTCCCACTCTAGAAATTTTATAAGGATTTTCATTTTAACAAACGTTAGTCTTAAGCCAGATTTACAAAAAACATATCGACGAGATTTGATTTAGATTCATAAAGTTCTGAATGTATATCAGTAACTTATTTGTAATTTCTTTGAATAAAAGGTTTTTAAAAACACATTCGTCCAAAGAAATTATTTAACTTTATTATTATATATATATATGTATATATTTATTTATTTATAACAAGTTAGGACTCATATATATTTATAACTTGTTCCCTGATTTCCGCACTTCCAGAAAGATCCAGGGAAACCAAGGAAGGCTAGATAGGGTTACAGTTTCACTTCAAAAATGTTTTAGATGTTTTGATTAAGCCACTATTTCATTCATTTATTTAACAACTTTATAGAAACATTTTCTTAGACAAATATAAAATTGCCTCAGTTATACCAGTACCGATGTTTTCTTATGTTTGGACCTCAATAGTTTAACTTATGATTTTTCCTTCTTGAAGGTGGGATAATAGGTCATCTCAAAAAAACCACAACCAGTTTTTATCCACAACGTTCGGATTTATTTTAATCCTTCCTCAGGTGAGTTAACGCAATGGTTAAAACAGTGGTCGTCAGTCATTAATATTTTATAACAGTTTATTTTAAAAAAGACCCAGTTAAATTTTTAAGTCTTTCAGACTCCGAACATTTTAAAAATTTTGAACCTGACCAATATGTATTTACAATATGTACTTATACCAGTATGTAAATCTGAATAAAAGAATGACCCTTCATATTATTGCCATATGTCATTAATTAGTAATTTGTCAAAAATATAATCAAAATCAGGTTAAAAGATTACGTGAAAATAAAACAATGGAAAACTCCCAATTTGATTTTCACTCTTATATGGGGTTAATATCCAAATTTACTAAATATGTGTGCAATAAATGTTAATAAAAAGATCATTCCTGGATGTAACAATGTGTACATTTAGTAGGCAACAGTTTATGTGAAAAAAGTTGGAATAAGAGGAATAGCACTTGATACATTACCTCTAGAAAACAAATAGTGCAAATAAGTGATATATGTAGTCAAATAGAAGAAATTAAAGACTGTAATTAGCCAAGAAACAGCACTGAGTCCAATTTTACTCTTCCTGTACATCAATGATTTGACAAAAAAATCAGTGACCAACAATTTATTTGCAAATGATTTTGCTTTCATCTCAACTGCTGACTCCTCGCCGAATGGTTTAAATATGTTATGGAAATTTAATTTTTAAAATAAAACAAAATATTTGTCATATAAAAATTGTTGACAGAGCAATTGATAGGTAACAGAATTTATATTTTTGCTTCTTTTCAACTCAGTTAAACATTACTGTAATGTTGTAGAACTACGTTTAAAATTATGTCATTTAACAACATGGAAGTGTGAAATTATTGCACAAAATATATAATTAACTGGTTGTTAAATTCGTGAGGAGCGATCAAAAATGAGGTTATTAAAAAAAACAAAAAAAACACACCTTTTCATTTTTTGCCTGTTTTGACCTTTCAAATCTTCATCAGGGCCTGGGTGAATTGCAAAACGTGTCGGTTGGAAAAATTACAATACAGATGTAAATATAATCTTTGAACCAAGTATTTCATACTCACATAAAGCGTGGTGCTATTCTTGTGGTGTCATATTGGTGCTGAGTGAAATGTGATGGTGTGGATCAAAGTCACGACAGCTCTAGTGGTTAGCGCAGCGACATATTGAACTGAAGATTGAGGGTTCGAATCTTGCTTGTGACAATAACTTTTTCATCTCAACCAACACCTTATATAAAAAAATAATTAATTGAATTAATTAATATGGTCAATTATGACTGCTAAACAAATATGGATTAGTAAATAATTAACATAGAGTAAGGCAGTCTTTCCAATGATTCTAATATTTTTTAATTTTCTGATAATTCCCCCAACTCTCTTGAGCAATTAATATATAGTTACCATAATCATATCTTTATAGTTTATGGTGTTTACAATCTACCTAAATGCGTAGAAATAGAAAGTACAAATAACTTTACCAACTCTTACAAACTAGTGTCAAAAAAGATGGAATTTCTTGGTTTCATCAATATAATAAAACAGTCAACATCAATAATACTATATGTACTTTATTTAATATCCTCTATTCAACTAGTAAAATGTTCCAAAGTTAACGAGAACCTACTTATTATTGATAATCATTTCCCATATCTTGATATATCAGTTACTTTTAGAAACATTTAGACCTATTAAGTGCAAATTTAGTTATTTAGATTTTAATAATTCCTACTTCCTTTGGAAGTAGGTAATACAAATAACTAATAATTTCCCGGATGTTATGACTGTCTTTCAGAACTTCCAGATCCTGTCACAAATATCATCTTTAGTTTTAACAGTTTAACCTTCACAAGCTATCCTTTCACGAAGTATCTGCTAAATTGATTTATCTTAAATCAACTGCCTTTATAGGCCCTGATGGAATCCCTGTACAGTTCTTAAAAATCTGTCTATTCATTAAAACATCCCCCTTGATCTCTTTAACAGGTTTACAGACACCTACTTTTATTGATATTTTGAAATTATCCTGAGTCATCTCTATTCATGTCAGGCAAAAAATTTACATTTCGAACTACTGGCTTCTCCAAACTGTCAATTTTCCATTAATTCTTTGAATCTCTCATTTATGATTATTTACATCCTTAGTTAACTCTACCTAGTTGAAGGAAGCTTCATAGAGAACGTGGAATACCACAAGATATGAGAATCTGGCTTAAGTACAGTAGCGAGCATTTGGGTCCTCTGTTCTGATTCTTGGAGGAAACAGGGTAGCATTACTTTATATTGTAGTTTTTTTTTTTTTTCCAATGTATACCAGGAACTGGAGGAGTTCCCTCCTGAGCATTGCAGCTGTACAGCTTATTGTACTTTATCCCTGGCTCCATTTTTTAGGGGGCTCGCAACACGTGTGAATTTGAGCCAATGGGGTTCTTCCATCGAAGAAACTTATTTTGGAAGGGGGTTAGGACCAAATTCAGGGTCGCTGAGATCTGATCCTGCTCCTTCCATTGATGAGTGCTGTGTCAATTTCTTTCAATTGCAGCCACCGGTCCCCTTAGGCGTCAGAAAAAGTCCAAAGGCGACGGTGGGGATCGAACCCACGACCGCCGGGATCTACGAGCCGAGAGTCTGACGCCTTAACCACTTGGCTACCGCGGCTCCCATTGTACTGATAGTTTTATGTCCCTAGCATGTGTTTAGAGTGAATGTATTTATTGGCGTTAATGTGTAGTCTTAGGACTGATGGCAGAATATTGAGTACACCATTGGCCCTGATTATGTAAGTGTAAAACTAAGTTGAGTATTCAACCATCCTAACGGAGTGAAGGTATTCAAATAAGAAAGAATGTATTTTAAGTGAATGGATTTCGGATCTGATTCTGAGCTGAAATGACCCCTGAAGCCCAATCTCAGCGCCTGGACGAGTAAAACTGAGGACCGACCCCGGACTGCTAACACCTGAGGTTAAGGTTTCATTTACTACCGGTAATTTATCGTACATCACAAAAGCTGGAATTGCCGTTGGAATGCGAGAACTGTGTGTATGTACGCGTGTATAGATTTGAGCCAATCAATAATCAGTTCCCCATAAGTACACTACTACTCTTCGACCTTTTTTCATCATTATTTAATTATTATGACAACGAAGATGTAACAAAAGTTTAAAAAAAGTAAAATAAACATGAATGTTACATAACCAATTAGTTTCTCAGTTCCCTCCAATCACAAACCGCTACAGCGCCTCGGCGATTTTAAAATTTAAACGTTTACCCACTGTTACCAGGCACAAAAGCGTCAACTACAATTATTTGCTCTAAACAATTTTTCTTGAGTGATAGACAGCAACTTTTGATTTTTGTTTTATAGAATTCAGTATTACATACACAATTGAATAAGACATGCAAGAATGAACAAATAATAAAGCTAAAATAATAAGTCACTGGTTATCACTAGTATTTGTTCAGAGCAAACAATTGTAGGTGACGCTTTTGTCCTGGTAACAGTGGGCGCCGAGGCACCGTTGCTTTTAGTAATTGGAGGGAACTGAGAAAGAAACTGGCTATATAACATTCGTGTTTATTTGACTTTTCTTTAAACTTCTGTTACGTGTTCGTTGTTATAATAATTAAATAACGGAGGAAAGGAATTTGATAAAACAATGTCGAAAAAGGACACAGTTAAGAAGAAGAAGAAACCTAAGGAAAATAAAGAGGATTGGATGGACACTATAACTGCTCTCACGGATCTTCCGACTTCTCTCCACAAGTTCATTGAGGACAAGGTTTGTCGAATAAGCATTAATTTTGATTTTGCATTTATTTAAAATGATATGTACACTAGATAAAAAACGTTGATTCAAAAATGTTCATAATTGTTTGTACGGTTATGGCCCAAGTGCATCTCGTATATTAAGTTTTTTACGAACAATATTTTTAACAATTATGAAAAAGAGTTCTTTCAACCAGGTTGATTGAAACGACCATATAACTAACAAAACTATAAATTGAGTTGTGTGCCCCCACATGCTTCAACATGCAGTCTCACAATTCAGCATTAACATATCAGTTAAATAAGACATTGGAATGTGATTCCCTCATATTTCTTTGAAAAAGTTTTAGTATATTCTGTGCATAGCTCATCTTCCGATCCCTCTATCCACACTTTCACACTCTAACAATTGTTAAGTGATATTATTGAGCTGTGGCGTATAAATAAATCAACCATTGTCTTTATATTTTATTTGTTATTAAGGGTATACTTACAGTCATATCAAGTAAGTTCATAGATTTTAAAAATTGTGTAACAGAATCATTTTATTGCTGTAAAAAAAATGTTAGTCTATTGTACTTTACTTTGTATTATAATCAAAAATAATCTCACAATCAAGTAAATTTATCCCTTAGTATGGGCGTATCGTGGTGTAACACATGTGTGAGTGGTGAATTACCTCTTAATATGCAACTATTTTCATAGTTTGTAATTCAACAAATCCCAGTATTTCAGATTTAGATGCAATAACCATTACCAGGGCTAATTTTGCAAGAAAGATTTAACAGTCAACATTTTATTAGAAATACTCTCAGACAAAAAAAAACAAAAAAAAACACTGGATGTATTTTGTTGTTTATTTCAAACTACATGTATTTATTTTATCGTTGTAGTAATGACAACGTACTTGTTTTAATATAAACCAAGTTATAAGAGATCAAAAATTCTTGAGTTTTAATAAAAAATATTTAATTATCATGGTTTGAAAGACAATTTACCAAAACACTGAAAAATCATTAGTGATAGATTTATTCTTAATGCTTTATTATGAGGTAATAAATTGTAAGTTAAATGGATTCTGTAATTAAATGACTTTCCGGTGTTTTGGTAAATTGTCTTTCAAACTATGATAATTAAATGTTTTAAATTAAAACAAATGAATTTTTATCTCCTTTAATTTGGTTTATATTAACATAACGTATAACGATAAAATACATATAGTTTGAAATCAACAACAAAATGTGCGTGATGAGAAAATATGATCATAGACCTCTTGGCTGTGTCGCTCTTGGTCTTTTTTCACGTGTACTTCCACCTAATATCTAATATGTAAGTCATGAGGCTATTAATAATTAAAAAAAAAAAAAAAATAGTTGTATTATTGCTTAACCCTGCAGCGGGCACGTAGTGGTACTATGTACTGCAATTTATTTTTTATTGTATTTTTATTTGGATTTTATGTTCTGATTCTGCCAAAAGTGGTTAGTTGGTTATTTGTTCTCTTCAGTTTCAAGTGCAATTTTTCTGATGATGATTTCCTAGATTTTATAGATGATAGAGACAATGAGGCAGAAGACATAATTCAAGGTAGTCATGACAATGATTCAGAGTAATGTCAGGGAAGATGATGAAGATATGGATGTATTTATGCTGTCACTGAGTATTGACTCAATGTGTTTTATTGGGAAAGATAATGATACATTGTGGATAAGCAACCTTTCCCCATAAAACGAGCAAAAACTATTGTAAATACTTTATCACATCCCACCTGACTTATGCGAGATTTATGTGCTGAGTATACTTATTAAATATACTTTTGTTTTTTATCACTCCAAGACGACACAAAGAGACAATATAGTGCTTTAAACTAACATCTACTTTTACTTTAAATCTAACATCTACTTAGATGTCAACAAATCAAAAATGTGTAGATAAAGAGATGGTAAGTAAAACCCATGAAGAAAAGTTAGATAGCCTGTTTTTGGGGTGCTATTATTTACTGCCAAAAATGAAAGGAAATGTGGAAAAATGATAGATCCAGTCTGCTAATTTTCAGAGCTGTAAAGCTGTTTTAAAATATTTTTTGTTTCTAATGAGATTAATACATTTTGATTATACATCAACAAGATTGGATTGTTAATGTAGAAATGTATGTTATTTGCTTGAAGAAGTATTTATGTAGTCCTGATTACAAGTTTTTTTTAATATTATAATGATTTATATTTTTATTTTTCATTCTAATTGATGTTATGATGGTATATCATTAAAATGTTCTTACCTAACTTTATATATATTTTAATTTACTTTTCTTTTTATACAAAAAACAGATAGGTTTTTTTTTAAATTATTTCTTTTAATCTTTCTTTTAAAACTTACCATCAATTAAATTTATGAATCAATTGAATCCGGTGTTGTCAAGCATTGCGCACATAGCAAGCAAGGGGCTTAAGGGGTTTACGTTTTTTTTCTTTTCTTTTTTTAAATCATTCTTGATCTGGATAAACAAAACAAAGGCAGAGGACTTTACAAGCAGAAGGTGAATCAGCCACAAAGTGAAAATATCTTTCATTACCTTTGAATTGCATAAAGAACACATTTTGTATTAGATTTCTAGGGCACAAAGTTTACAAATTGTTGTTTGCAATGCATTTTTAGAAACCATCGCAGCTCAGAGAGGTGAAAAAGGTTTGCCTGCTCACCCAGAGGATTGAAGAAACAAAAAGAATAAAGGAAGAAACATGTGAACAAGGATACTATCCTTGGCAACTCTCATGATGAACTTCACAAATTTGGCTTAAGTGAATTTCTGATAGGCCTAGCCATTCATATTTTCATTTGTAACATTTTATTTTTAATGCTTTTTTATCATGATTAAAATAATAGCAAAAAATGAAGTGCCCACTTTTGTAATATTTATATAGGTGGCCCACTACATGGTTAAATTAAAATTAAAGCAGCCCTGGTGGTACTATGAAGTCATAAATGTTATTTCTAATAGAATGTTCTTACATGTTGCGCTTTTAATGTTGCAGATTGATTTTACTAAGTGTGATGAAGATTTACTTAAAGGATTTTTTAAGGAGTTAAAAACGTACATGATAAAACAGCAAAACATTTTGGATTCAGAAGCCAGTAATGAAGAAAAAGAAAAATCTAATAATATTTTGTATGCCCTTTGCAAATTTGTTAGTCCTATCTTTAAAGAGATGCAATTTCTAAAGGGCATGGTCGCCATGCGAGTAACTGGCTGGATGAATGTAATGTTGGCCGACGCTAATCTTGACTTAAGGATGAGAGAATTGCTCTGTCAATTTTCTATCAACCACTTACAAGCAACTCCCATTTACGACCATTTGCATGAAGGGATTTACATATTAGATTATTTATTAGATTTAACTCTCGGTGAAGCCAATACAAATCAGCGTGAGATAAATAATCATATACGCCACCTCATGGAATTGAAAGATTTTATAAAAACAACTAATTTCATGGGTGAACCTATGGATATTATTAGGTCAAAATTGCTCAAATGTGTGACATCAAGGAATTTTTTAAAGTCTAAAGAGGGAACGGTGTGGGCTGGTATTATCCTCTCAAGAGAAATTTCTCATGTGAGGTCCCTGCAACAAAAAATTCGTGATTTCCTTATTACTCTTAGCAAAAAAGAAGCCGGTGCTTATGCTGATATTTATTTTTACGGCTGGGCAAATGGAGATGAAGATATTAAAAGGGTATATTTATTTATATATCTATTTATTTATTTCAAATTAACATTTTTATTTACTGTTTTAAAGGAAATTGAAGAAAATTGTATTCAAGATTTAATGAAAAGAATATTTACTTTAAGGAGAAATGGTATAGACATGGGAAGAACAGGAAAATTGGTATTTTCAGTTTTGCAAAATCTGCATACTTTGCGGACTTCTAAAAAGTTCAGTGAGGTCATTACAAAATTGTACACACCACTTCTCTGGCGCTATTTGAGGGTATTGTAAAAGATTGTAATATTATCTTTTGAACTAAACTTGAGGATAATTCTTATGATTGTTTTTAGAGTGCTAACCCTGCTGAACGATGTAATGCAGCAGAAGTATTTCTAGATGTTTTTCCTTTGGAAAAAGTGGGATCTGTTGGAAATGCTTCATTTAAAGATAGGCAGGTTAAAGAAATAAAGGATTTACTAACAGATGATTGTCACATTGTCAGGATTATTGCAGTTAAAGTAACTTACTCCATTAAATTTAAAACTTTTATTTAAAAAGTTTAAATAATTTAAACTTTTATTAATAATTTTTTGTTATTCAGGGGACCTGTTACCATCTGGCCCAATCGGTTACACTTTTGACACTTATGGATATAAAACAGTTTTTCGAAATTATTGTTGATAAACTAGCGAATGATGGATCCACTTACCTTGTAAGAGTAGCAGTATTTGTAGGGATTTCAACCATGCTGGAATTCTCTACTACCCATGGTATTTTGTTTAATGTTTTGCCTAAAATGTATCTACACATCCATGATGAGAATGAACAAGTCAGAAAGGCGTTTGTAAAAATGTTAATAAAAGTGAGGAATTTAAAAGATTGCAGTTTCAGCTACTGGGATATTGTTCCAATAGAACACATAGTGGCAAGACTTGAGGTAATTTAATATATGCTAAAAATTGATTATAAAATATAATCTTTGCCAAAGTCTTGTAACTTTAATTTTAATTGGTGACTTTCATACTTGTAAAATCAATTTACAGTTAATTTTATTGCAGTTTTATTTTACAGAATGAGGGGCCTATAGTGGGTACTGAATTGGCAAAATTAATTATTCCAGATTTCTATAAGAAAAATCAAACTATAGATAAAACTATTAACAATTTCAAGAAAATAATTAAACTAAACAAAGAAGCTGCCAAAAACCTTTTTAAGCATTCAAACGGTGTTCTGAATGTTCATGATGCATTTGCTGTAAGTTTTAAATAATATCAAAATGGTCATTTTGTAATGCTTAATGAATATAGCTTGGTGCACTCATAATTCTTTTCAAAGATAATCGTCACTGTAATTGGAGTTTTAAGAAAAATTTTAAAAGAACATACTGAGAATCCCAACACGGAAAACATTAATCCGGAGGAGGGTGGTGAGGTTCTGGAAAGAAGAGTTAGGGTTAAAAAAAGACGACGACTTCTCAAAAATATCACAAATACAAGTCAGAATAACAGTAAGGAAGCAAATGTATATTAATAATACATTATTTTATAACATTACTTTTTAGGCATCATCCAAGAAAATAGCAGCCCGCAGAATGAAAACTCTGGCTCTGAACTAGTACCTACTTTCTTTAAGAATATTTCATTGCTTGAAGAACACGAGTAAGTAAAATCAGTTCTTGGAAAATTTAGTCTACATAAAAAATTATCTTAGTTGTATCTATATTTTCTTCATTAAGTTGTTATTCATTCAATTTGTGGTCAGACTAGTTAAAAATTTAGAAACAATAACAACAATACCAATAAAATAAATTTAAAAAATTATACCTACTAGAAAATAAATTTATAAATTAATTATTCAGTTGGTTATTTTGGTTAGTGAAAATTAACTAGGGAACAGTCTTATTATTTATAATTTGAGTTTTCAAGTTGGACACTTTTGAACGAAACATGATAAAATGTGTTTTATATAAATGTTTTCTTTAATGATTGTATAATTTATTGTTATTCAGATATCGTGAGATGCGGTCGGGTGTGATGTAGGTTTCAGAAAAACATTTTCTTTATCATGCCAACGTTTCGATCTTTTATTGAGATCATCTTCAAGGCCTGGGATTTACAAACAATGTTTACATTTAACAAATACATTTAGGATGTGGAAAAGTGAATTTATACAATGCAAAATATATTTTATATTCAAACAAAGTATTTCTACTCACTCAAAGTGTTTTTATTCTGTGTAATTGTGCAATCCTTGCGTGTCGTGTTGAGTGCCAGTGAGTGAAAATCTCACTGGCATTCTCAACATGACACGCAAGGATGGCACAATTACACAGAAGACAAACACTTTGAGTGAGTAGAAATACTTTGTTTGAATATAAAATATATTTTGCATTGTATAAATTCACTTTTCCACATCCTAAATGTATTTGTTAAATGTAAATATTGTTTGTAAATCCCAGGCCTTGAAGATGATCTCAATAAAAGATCAAAACGTTGGCACGATAAAGAAAATGTTTTTCTGAAACATACATCACACCCGACCGCATCTCACAATATCTGAATAACTATCAATTAACGGTCACTAATCTCTACACACGTATAATTTATTAATTATCATTTTTCCAACACCCAATAAAAATGGTACAATACATTTTTGTAAGTTGGTTTTTCCAAAGCCATTTTGTTGTAATTAATTTAACTTTAGTTATAATTCATTTAAGTAATAAAAATAATGCATAAAAAGGTGTAATTAGAATATTGGCATGTGAATACAGCTTGGTGATAGGAATGGTCAGTGCTGTGACAATTCTCTGGGCAATATTTTCTGAAGAACTGATTAAAAACGAAAAATATTTGAGTGATCTGTATGACCTTTCTACTTGTGCAGTGCCCATGCTGTTACGGTATTACAAGGTAATGATTGTAAAATATGTATCAATGATGTCAACAAACTAATAGACATAAAATTGTTTTAAAAGGGAACTCTTGTGTACTATTACATTGTTGATTTTGCATCTCTAACACCAATCAACAAACTTAATCCTGTGAGCACAATTGCAAGTGCTTGTATTTCTGAGCTAAAAGAAGTATGTATTTATTACATCAATTATTGCATTTGAAAGCAGAGCTGTGATTCAAACACAATGGTTATTGGTTATTTTAGATAACAGACCAAACCCCTTCGAATTTAACACAAGTTCTAATATCTGCGCTATCATCGTGGGATAGAGGACTCGAGGTGATCGATCTGATAATAGAATGGTTAAATCATGCTTTCCGACAAAAGAATCTCAATATGACTTTAGACATGGAACAGGTAACAGATATATTATATTGTCTCACAGCATGCTACATAAATTATTTTTTATTATTTATTTTATCTTTTCTTAACTTGTCAATGCAGATGACGCCACATTGGCGTCAAGCTGTCAACTGTTTCAAATGTCTCAGAGAATATCCCCTGGTAAACAAGTCAGTCTAAATAGTTCTGCACTGAACATCTGAAGGTAGTTTCTCTAGATTAGATTTAAATGTGTGGTGGTTAGTGACCACCGTTAGTCGATGATTATTCAGAAATTATGAGATGTGGTCTGGTGTGATATAGGTTTCAGAAAAACATTTCCTTTATCGTGCCAACGTTTCGATCTTTATTGAGATCATCTTTAGGGCTCAAAGTGTTTGTTTTTTGTGTAATTGTGCCATTCTTGCTTGTCGGGTTGAGAGTGCCTCTCGCAGTTATCAACTCCGGCATTTCTCGCATGCTTGGACCAATTTGTTGCTAGAAGAAGATCTCAATAAAGATCGAAACGTTTGCATGATAAAGAAAATGTTTTTCTGAAACCTACATCACACCAGACCGTATCTCATAATTTCTGAATAATCATTAGATTTAAATTCATTTTTGTATATCAAGAAGACAACAACCGCTATTTTTACTTTATTTATTAGAGTATCAATTTCAAGGATTCCTTATTAGTTTTTGTTTCAATCCTAGGTTCTGGACTGTGAGGATTATCTAAACAGTTCTCTAAAATCTCGTGACTATATTGAGGCTATTATAATAGAAATATAATTAAAAATGTAATTTAACCCTCTACAGGCAAGGCTCGCAAATGTAACTCGGTGCAAGGCAGGTGATATTTGACCCAAATATTGGTTTTTGATTTTACTTCATAATTCAAAACGTTTTAAAAGCAAATAAAAATTAATTTTAATAATGAAAATGAGTATAAAATATAATTATTGGAATTTTTGTTAAATATTTATTAAAAATAAAAATATTTATTATTTAAATTAATTATTTTTAATTTAAAAAAACTGTGGTAAAACACAAAAACCAAATTTTTAATTATATTAAATAAATAACAAAAATTATGAACTTATTAATAAAATGTAGACCTACATATAAAAGAATATATAATTAAACTTATACAATAATAATAATACACGTTTTTTTTCCGAGCGTCATGCATGTAATTGAAACCCAAAATTGAAATATTATAGGTAGATAGATCATAGATGGATTGGAGCAATAATAATTTTAGTATTTTTTACCTTCACGCTGAAATGTATTCTAACAATTGTCACATAGTTTTCTAAGTGAATTTTCACTAATTTCAATTTTATGTTCACATTTTCCAGTACTTTTACAAACCTTGCCTGTGAAGGGTTAAAGAAATAGCATGGGAAATCCTTTCTTGTCCACAAAAAGAATTTTTAATCCCTTAAGATTTTGACACTCTTGATCATTTTAATTTTATTTTACGGCACTCATCAATGGAAGGGGCGGGATCGGATCTCAGCGACCCTGAATTTGGTCCCAACCCCCTTCAAAAATGAGTTTCTTCGATGGAAGAACACCGGTACAACGGGGGCTCATGTTCACATTTGTGTTGCGAGCCCTCCCCCAAAATATGGAGCCAGGGATGAAGTACAATAAGCTGTACAGCTCAGCTGCAGTGCTCAGGAGGGAACTCCTCCAGTCCCTGGTATCCATTATAAAAAAAAGGAACTAGGAAGGTACAATAAGCCAGAAGGCAGACACATTTTGGCATTACGCTATTTTGCCATTGTGTGCGTTTCAGTCAAGAAAGTATAATTGTGAGATGTGTTGGTTTTATTGTCAGTAACAACCAAATTTCTTTCTCCTCCATTTTGTAAAATTTACTCTCATTAAATATTATGTTTTGAACTAATAATTGAAAAAAAAAATTTGTAATTTAAAAGCTTAGAATAATATGACTACGATCATGTATATTTTGCTTATATGTTATTATTTTGTCACTCCCCTCTGTAAGAGTAAATTAGTCTTGAAATTATATAAATAATTTAGTAACTGACTTGATTGTTGTTTTAGAATTCCAACAAAAAGTCCAAGGTTCGGTTCAAGCCAGTGAAAGGAAAACCCCTTCTTGCCCTCACACTCCTCAGCCATCTTGTAGATGATATTTTTAATCTCAAACGCCTTTTGCACAAAAGAAGATTTCGATTATATGAACTTCATACCTATATGGCAAGGATCAAGGTGATTATATTTTCAAATCAATTTTTAAAAACAGTTGATAATTTAATGAACATCCTCCCAAATTAAATCATTTAAAAATACATCATATTTATTTGATATGCTCTCAAGCAAGAANAAAACTTGACACAAGGATGGAAAACAACTTCCAGCTACTCCCAACATATTTGGAATGACGCTCCTCTCTCTCTTTACTTCTGTTCTCTCCCCTCCTACGGGGTTTCTTTTCTGCTTACTGTTGACATCATTCCCGCGGGTGCACTGACGTTTTCCTTCCCCGACACGGCCAACCTGATATGGCAGCCGACCCGGATGCCAATTATTGAGCTGTAACCAAAATAAAATACAAGTAGACTCTGATTAAGAGCACTCGGCCACACTGACAAAAACCGAGTATATCATATTGAATATGTTGATAGATTACCCACAGATAAGTTGTCTTTGTTAGCTTTACTTTGCATGAACATTAAGTATAGAGCACAACATTAAATTACTATTGTAAGTAATTTGCTATGTTAGTAGGTACTGCTGAGCAAGAGTGATGAATTGGCACATAGTAACTAGAAATTTATCAATTTACATAGATAATTTAAGCAATTTTCAAATCAGATAATAACCAAATTTATGCGAGAGTTGACAATCTCTTGAATAAATGCTTAAAAATAATAACTTGGAAGAGAGTTGACAGTCTCTTTAAAATAGTAATGACAATGAGCAAGAAAGAGAGTTGACAGTCTCTTTGAATAGTAATGACAATGAGCAAGAAAGAGAGTTGACAGTCTCTTTGAATAATAATGACAATGAGCAAGAAAGAGAGTTGACAGTCTCTTTGAATAGTAATGACAATGAGCTAGAAAGAGAGTTGACAGTCTCTTCAAATTTTTTTTTTTTTTTTTCAGCCAGGTCCGCACAAAATCAATTTCCTTCAATTAGAGTTAACCTTCCACAATATAGTGGAATCGCACTAGCAAGGCGAATAGTCTGTCACATAATGGCCATCAAGGGCTAGCAACCACACTACATGGCAAATACCAATGTGAAACCAATACATGTTTAGATAAACAAGAAGTAATTAAAATCATTTAACCTAATCAATAATCAAATTCAATTTCCCCAGTGATTCGACCATTAGCAGATCTCATAATGGCTACCTAAGAGCTAGTGATCATCTTATATGACCGAATCATAAGGTATATGTGCGAAACTTACTAATCAAAGAGAAAAGTAATATGTATGTGCAGCATAATCTTAGCTAATAAAAAAAAAAAAAATTCCTTGATACTTAACAGCATTATAATATTAACTAAATCAAGTCATCACTGCTCATTAGTAATAGTACTATTACAATATTATTAATCGTGAATTTATGAATCATTGTTATCCTCTGAGTCGACGTTGGGATCATACGATATATTATCGGATAAGAAGCTATCTGGTTGAACTGACGGGTCAGGTACTTGTTTCAGTTGGTCATGCGGAAATTTGTACGTGCGATTTGAAGTAAGAGACTTTAAAAGGTAACGGTCTTGATCAAGTACTTCTATAATCCGAAAAGGTCCACGGAATTTCGGACTTAATTTTAATTGATTACGAGGTTCATTTTGAATCAGGACAAGATCACCTTTAGACATTAACTTTACTCTAGCTTTCCCTTTATAAAAGCGGGCTTTATCATAATTTGCTGTTTTAATCATATTTTGAGTTGCTTTGTCGCGAATAGCATCTAAATCAATGTTTTCAGAACCTGTTATGGATTCGGTGGGAACGACCAGATTTAATGGTCTACCAACTTTTCCTATCATTAATTCCAATGGGGATGCACGAGTGACTCAATTAATAGTACAGTTGATGGCTAATTGAATATCAGGGACTGCGTCCTGCCAGGAGCGTTCTCCAAGCTCAGTGGCAGTGAGCATATTGGTCAAAACTGACATAACCCTTTCTACTTGGCCGTTTGCGCAAGGTGCTCCTGTTGCAATAAGATGGAGTTCTATTTGATGATTATTACAGAATTGCTTAAAATCATTGCTTCTTTGTTCTGCTTATCCATAATAATCTGCTGAGGAAGACCATGATGAGCAAAGTAATTTATTAAGGCATTAACAATTTCTATGCTATTAGAGGAGTTTAAAGGGTATACTTGTGCATATTTTGAGAACGTGTCAATTATTGTAAGGAATTTAGAATTTTCCAGAGTTAGCTTATCTTATCAATATGAATAATGGCGAAAGGTTTTGTAGGTGTTGGTGCGATATTGTACTGGATCTTAAGAGGGACTCTATCATATTTTGATAATTGGCAAATCTCACAACGATTAATAAATTCCTGCACAGATTTTTTCTGATTAACCCAAAAATATTTTACTTTTATTTTTTCAAAGGTTTCCTGGATTTCTCTGTGATTCATTTTGCCCTTGTGATAGTTCTTAATTGTTTCTACGATCTCTTCCTCTATCGTAACATCAACTAGTTTTTCCGTAAATTTAGTAAATTTTATATCAGACAATTTAAAATTTGTTTGCATTATTCTTGTAAATTTTTCATAAATATCATTTCCAAAGCATATTCCATATTTTATGTTTGGATTAATGTATTCTTTAATAAAAGATATTACTTCGTTTTCAAAAATTTCTTCTGAGAATTCTACAATTATTCGTGTTTTACTGTTGAATAGATTCTTGTCTTCTTCGGGTTACATTTGACAAGAGATATTTGAATTTGACTCACACAATGACTGACCGGACCTTCGGTAATTGGGATTGATAATCCTGTATTTCCTTCCGATTGAGTGTCTCGTTTGTTGTGAATCTTCGTCGATAATGAGGCTGTTTTCATTTAAATTATCGTCATCTATGTTTACGAATGTGGAATAATTATCTATGGTGTTAGGCCAGTTTAAGATTTCTCTTTTGGGAGAATCTAAAATTGAATTTGCAAGGTTTTCCTCCCTTAGCTCTGGAAATTCTTCATAGAAATCATCTAACAGGGTATCTATTTCTTCATCATCAACCTTGGAATTATTGGGATATTTACCTTTTAATCTACTCATATTTATTTGCACTCTAGATAAGGCATCCGCGTTTTGGTCCAATTTACCTTTGTTATAAATGATCTCATAATCGTATTCCTCCAATTTTAGTCGCCATCTTGTCAGTTTCGAATTTGGCTCTTTAAGGGAAAATAGCCATTGCAAAGGTCTGTGATCACTAAATATTTTAAATTTTCTGCCATACAAGTAAGGCCGGAAATATTTACTCCAGACAATCGCAAGCAATTCCTTTTCTATGGTGGAATACTTTGATTCGGTATAATTTAAAGTTCTACTAGTGTAAACAGTTGGTAAATCCGAGTTCTGGGTAAGGGGTAATTTTTATGGCATATATTTTTGCCAAATTTGGTTTCACTCCATTTGGTGTCACCAAATGCCCTAAATATGCTACCTCTTTACGAAGAAATTCTGTTTTATCAGGTTGGATTTTGAAGTTATATTTTCTCAACCTATCAAAAACTAATTTTAACCTTGAAATATGCTCCTCTAAACATGTACTGAATATTATGATGCCATCTAAATAACGTAAACATATTTCATAATTTATCCCCCTTCAGAATATTGGCCATAACTCGTTGAAAGGTGGGCGGACTATTTTTTAGGCCGAACGGCATCCTTAAAAATTCATAATGACCAGTTTCTGTAGAGAAGGCTGTTTTTTCAATACTTTCTGGACTCATCTCTATTTGATGGAATCCGGAAGCTAGATCTAGAGTGGTAAAATATTGGGACCTGCCTAATTTATCTAATATATCATTAATATTAGGGAGAGGGAATTTGTCATCAATTGTTTTTTAATTTAAATTTCGGAAGTCAATAACCATGTGCCATTTTCTTTTTCTTGATGCATCGGCTTTTTTTGAGACTACCCAAAGGGATGAGTTCCATGGCGAATGTGAAGGTCTAATTATCTTTTGCTTCAACATTTCTTCTACTTGATTCTCAACTTCTTTTTTATGAATTTGGGGATAACGATAGTTTTTCGAATGGATTGGAATTTCATCCTTGGTTCTTATTGAATGCTTAATTTGATTTGTAAAGGAGAGATCACTTCCTTCTACATAGAAAATGTCTCCATATTCCTTTATCAAGCCCTTCAATTTTTCTACTTCCTCTCTATTCAAATGATCTATACGGAACTTTGGAAAGTCAATCACTTTATTATGTTTTGTTCTAAGTTTATTACAATTATAATTGTTATTTGAAATTTCATTTGTATTTTTAATTTTATAATTTTTTAAATTGCTTACTGTAAATGGCTTATTTATTACGACGCCTATTTCCATTTCCAGGGATACCTTATACAACGCTTCGTTGTTTTCTACTTTTATTACACATTGGGGGATTTCTACCCCAGATATATTGTGATATCCCAATATGCCTTCACCATTTTCCATATTTTTAATTTTTAATTTTATGACTTTTTCACTTCTTGCATCGACAATATAATTGGTTGTTTGAGTGGTGTTCCACTGGTGTTCCCGCGGTTGGGATTACTTTATGACTCAAATTTTGATATAAGATAGGAATACAGTTTCCTTTATAGTATTTGTCGTTAACGAAATTTAATTGAATATTTAATAATTTTATATTACCTAACCCCAACAGCAAATCAAATTGATCGTGAAAGTTGAATAGGAAAAATTTGAGTATCTTTTGCTGTTGAGAATTGAGAATTTTGTACTGTAGTGTCCTCATTTGAAGTACCATGTGCAGTGGTGACTTCAAATGGATCATTTATAATTTTGTTTTTAAAATATTCAAAACCTAAAACTTTCTTTATAAAGTAACAGGTACTGCCCGTGTCGATCAGGATTCTTGCATTTGTTGCAGGATCTACAAAATATGGCAACTCGTTCCCCATTGATTGTAAATTCATTATCTGAAGTTGTCTTGTATTTTGGTAACTCCTAAAAAAATTACCCTCTTCAGATTTGGTTGGGTTAATGGATTCATCTACGGAATTTTTGGGTGGTTGTTCCCTAGCATCCTTCTGGAAAACTCGTGGTTTTTAGAAGAGTTTCTTGTTGAGATGCTCATGGGTGTTTCTTGGTTGCTTTGTGAAAAATGGAGTGGAATTTTGTTTAATTTGTGATGGTTTGTTGAATTGGATGGGTCGTTGTGTAAATTTATGTGGTTTGAAATTTTGTTTTTGATTTGTGTTTTGTCTATGTTGTTGGATCGGTTGTTGGTCTATTCTCTGCATATACTGGAAGTCGTTTAACTAACTTTTCAATGTGTGACAAGGTTTTAGGATTCCTAGTGGCTAGGTTATTTCTTAAAGGGTCTCTAAGACTACTTATAAAATTGGTGGCCACTACTTGCTCCTGAAACCTTATCAAATCTCATTCATCATTTCAACCATTTATAATTTCATGTATGAAAAATTTCTTTTTTGTGTACACTATGTTGAAGGTACTTTTAAAATAAAAGTTATGACTTTGCGACATTTCAGAAGGATTTAGCCATCCACCTATCAATGAGTGTAAGTGGACTGGTGGTTATTTGTCCACGAAAATTTACATTTCATTGACCTTTATTTTAACATTAAAAGGAACAATCACAATAGCATAAATACCACATGCTATTGTGTGACTTGCTTGGTCTTTCAGGAACTATTTGATTTAACAGGGCACTCTCAACACAACTCCCAATAATGACACATCTACACAGAAAACAAACACTTTGAGCCCTGAATATGATCTCAATAAAGATCGAAACGTTGGCACAATAAAGAAAATGTTTTTCTAAAACCTTCGTCACACCAGACCCCATCTCACGATCTACAAATAATTTGTAATTTAAGTTGAGACCTGGAAAACGTGTATATGAAATATCAGGTTCCACTACTTGCCCTCACAGTTCAGGGGGAGCTGAAATGGCTTTACTGTTTCCTAGACCCGGGAAAAATTTATACTAGTAAAAAAATATTTTAACAATATTTATTGTTGTCACCCACCCATTGTTGATCAAAGCATTTGGCCAGGCAAGATAGTGTCAGCTTAACCCATATATGCCCACTATTTTTTTTTTTTTTTTTTTTTTTGAGGAATTTTGAAATTATCTTTTAGGTAGCTTTTCTTTTTCACCCCTTTTAACAATAAAAAATGTTAAAAAAAATATAGCTAGGCATTTAGTATGCACATTAGGGTGTTGCGAAAACGCGACACGGGTCACTTGAGGAGTCATTTCTCCTTATTACCTTTATCCTATACATATGTATGAAATTAGGATTATATTCGAAATATAGGTAAATTAAAATCATCATGAATCATAATATCCTTATAATTATATATATATTTTTACAACAGTCTTTTTTGTAACTACAATTTTTTTCAATTGTCTAGTTTTGGTGAAATTCAAGAAAACATTTTTCGTGCAATGTGATTCCGCATTTTACACATTGTTTTATGGTTGTGGATTTACATACTCCACATCGGGTTCGTTTTTCTTTCGTCCCTAGGAAGTGCCCAATTCTGTCGAATAGGGTCCCCGACGAAATTCTGCTCATAACAGTTGATGTCGAATATCATGTTCGTTTAGGTGCATTTCCGAATCTTTCAAGCAGTTCATTCGCAACAGTTCTCTTGAACTGCAAGAAATCTAATGTCTTTCCTGGAGAAGCTCTGTATAATAATCAGGCATTCTGTAGAGTCACATCTACGGTCCAGAGAATTATGGGCCACCACCATTTTTTAGACTTGATGGATGTACGGTAAGTGACAACGTTTTGATCCATCCTGTCCGTACCCCCCATGTTTTGATTGTAAGACTTTATTATTTGCTGTTGGACCTGGATTTTTTTATGAGCTGCGGAATATCTATGAGCCTGGCGTAGCGGAGTGACTGTTTGGCAATTCGAAAGTACTGTTACCACCGAGTTATCGTTTCACCAGCACAGTAGAATTGATGAGTTTTTTTCTATACAAGACTGATATGAACCTCTAGGTTCTTTTTTCATAATAGCTATATCTTTTATGGACGCGTCTTCAGTTCAGTCTATCCTTATAGTTACTGTAATTCTGACAAAATACACAGTAGCTCGTGGGCAGTATAATACTTTCTAATAAAAAATAAATAATTAATAAAAAAGAATGGGAATAATAATGTATCACTAGCATATAAGATACTAAGATTAGATAAGATAATGTAATAAACTGTGAAAAGATAAGATACAAATTATATAATAATATAAGAAAAGGGTAGTGAAAAATGGTAAACAGAAAAATAAATAAATCTTCAAAGGAAGAGAAAATACAAGTTAGTATAAGTGACGCAACACTGACATTAGACGCCAAATATCTGTAGACTTTTTTAAATTTTGCACACAGTTATTTTCAACAGTATAAAGAAAAACCAAAATAATGTTGCATGTAAAAAAAAAAAAAGTAATACTGTAATAGAAAAACTTACTTTTCTTGAGATATTTCTCCTTCAAGAACGTTCAATTTGGAATGTACAACACAAATGAAGGTTGTCAATAAAACCGAAAAGCAAATGAGTCATATTTTGTTTGAGTACATCCCGCCCTAAGGGTAAAGCTAAAAATAGAACCCGAAATAACATTTAATGGAAAGAACAAGAAAATTCTATTTTAAAAAATGGTACGTTGCATTTTTGCAACACTGGGCATATACGGGTTAAAACCATGCTTTAAACAAATTATTAATTTTTTATTCAAATTATTGTTTCATCACAGAAAACAAAACCGGTTAATTCACTCGACAAGTTGGCTTTTTTGGAAAGTATGAAATTGAACTGTTTTCTTCATTTTTAATATAAAGAGAGTAACAGTATTAATAAGTAATGTGGTAAAGGTAAACAAGTTATTAATGTTGAGTTTGACCCACTATGTTGTCCTGAATAGCATCAAACATTAAATAAAAAATTTCTTCACACATTATGAAAATTATGGAATGGTCAGTCCCCTTTAAAATGTAAAACAGGCAGGATTTTAATTTTTTAATTTTTTAATTTTTTAGATCATACTAGAAAATAGAGTGCAAGCAGGAGAAGAACTTAAGGAACCGGAGCTTTCAGATATATTCATTTGTAAATGTTTTAAGTACTATGTTTTTACTGGGATAGTGCTTCATCAGTCGGAACAACAATTAGAAAATGGTTCTAATACTGAAGTTTCTTCTTTGAATGCTCACAGGTTTTGCATAGACATTACTGATTGGGCTACAAGGTAATTGACATTTAAAAAAAGGTATGTTTAAATTCAAGGGACTTTGCAAAATGGCTCAACTAGTGGGGGGTAATGACCTACAGCATCAAAGCGTCAAAGCAGTTTTGACTGAAGTATTTATCGAGAGAAGCATTGTGTTGGCCATGTAATAATCATATTTTGAAAATGTCTGGCATTCATAAGTTCAAAGTTCATTGTAATCTAGTCAGATGACATTGCTTTGAGTGGTTCATACCACAACTTATTGGCTTTTTAGTATTTTAATTTTTTATTATTCCACTCCCGAATACATCAATTAATTGAAAATCACAACAATTTGTGTATTTATTAATGACATTTTGAGAAATTTTTGAAAAGAGAACTTAATAGAAAGAACTTGGGATTAATCATGGTTTAAAAAATTGGCCAATTTATTTCTTGCAGATTATTCTCTTGTAATTCCTCTTTGAGAACTGTACATACATGAAATTTCATGCAATTCCAATTATTATTCTCTTAATAAATGCTTCAGTTAAACCTGCTGTATGTGTTTATTAGCCTTACCTACCATTTAACTTATTGAGGATGACTTTCGATTTAAAAATTATAAAAAAGTATGTTACAAAAAGATTTTTGCATGGGGTCAGTTGAACTTTTAACCTGAAATTTTCAAAAATCATTACAAACCTTCGACAATACTAACAAGAAAGTAGCACTAATCCACTACAAACTTGAAAAATTGGAAATATTCAAAGATAACGCATTAACAAAAAATACTTAAAAACTCAGAATTACACAAATTAACAATATCTCACATACATCATTTTCACCATTCAAAACACTATATTCTAACGATATGTTTTCATGAGGGCATTTTTACAACAACAAAACTTACAACTTAAAAAAAAATGACAAACCAAATGTTGAATGTGGTGTAACCACCAAGTAACAGCATTATGAAATGGAGGGGGGTGGATGTTAAATGTAACTCATACAGGTGATGGCACATAAGATTTCAACTCATCAAAATTTGTTCTATTTATCAAAAGTTGACATCAAATTATTATTTTCAGAATCATAGTTCCATTCTTACCAACCGATTTAGAAGAGGATGGAAAGAATAGTGTGACGGTACGATGTATAAATCACATTTTGGAAAATTCAAACTACATAATTTCAATAAGCCAGACTGATATGGAACACAGTGTGCATTATGCAAGTTTTCTATCAAACCTACTTAATTCAGGTTGAAATAATTACATTTTAATTTTGCAATTACAAAATTACTTTAGGATCTTTTGTCATCAGGTTGCCCTTTACTCTTCATTGAAAATGCAGCTAAAGGCATTAAAGAGTTGTGTGAATACGCTCAGGTTTATATTTCAAAAGATGAGTACTCCCTTTATAAAACAATATTTCCTTCCCTTCAGAGCAGACTTTTGGAAATACTTGCTATGTCTGATCTAAGTACTACTAGTATAAAAAACTTTGTTGAGGTATTTTATTGTTTATATGTATATAAAGCATGTGTGTCAACAACATTCTTCTTTCCAGGACGTAAAAGGATTTAATGCGGCACTATTTTCACTTTTGACAGTTACTTATTCAAAATTCCCAGATAGTGAACTTTTCTCGGAGGTTTACTCGTATTATATTTATGCCGTGATTCAAGCCATAGCTAAACAAATAATCAAAGTAATTAAATTATTTTATAATTAAGTTAAACAGGTTAAACCTTCAATATCTTTATGATCTCTTAACCCCGTGTTCTAGGAAAATACGGTGATTTGTGAAAAAAAAATAGGAAATCATGTCTTCATTGTAAAGATAATTTTGAATTATTTTATAAGCAAACCTGTATTCTTGAAAAGAATATTTCCAGTGCTGGATAAACACCTCATTCTCTACAAATCAGTAAATCCTTCAACATATTATTGTATTCTTAAAATATCTTATTAAACTCATAATTTTAATTTTAATTCCATTATTTTGAAGGAAGGTACAAATTTATTGAGCTGTGTTGCAATAGTATACACACTAGTTCATTTGTTCAAAGCTAAATCAATCACAAGCCAAGATCTGGAGATTGAATCATGCTTAAAAAATATTTATGAATGCTTGAAAGCGTTCAGTTCGGCTCCAGTGGAGGATTCCTTTTATACAGAGCCTTTGTAAGTTTTTTTTATACATAATTTGTTATATACTATTTTATTGTGTGTATGCGTTGGATGGACAAATTTAATACATTACTCTATTTATTTAGTTTAAAATTAGATCTATTATCTTTCTACATTGGTTACAGGAAACTTGGAGCTATTGTAAGTCAAAATAAACAGTAAATAATACCTTGTTTACTTATTTTCATTACTTATTTATTTAGAAATCGTGAGATGCGGTCTGGTGTGATGAAGGTTTCAGAAAAACATTTTCTTTATCGTGCCAACGTTTCAATCTTTATTGAGATCATCTTCAGGGCCTGGGATTTACAAACATTGTTTACATTTAACAAATACATTTAGGATGTGGAAAAGTGAATTTATACAATGCAAAATATATTTTTTATATATTCAATCAAAGTATTTCTACTCACTCAAAGTGTTTGTCTTCTGTGTAATTGTGCCATTCTTGCGTGTCGTGTCGAGAGTGCCAGTGAGATTTTGCTATTTTGTGTTTATATACGTTGGATTTTGAAGGGGTGGGGAAGGATGTCGGTATAGAAAAGACATTTTTGTATAAGGCGTCGGCTTCTTTGAGGTGAAAAGAGCCGACGAAGGGAAAAAATGTGTTGGTAATGGTTCGGCCAGATTATCCTTTCAGGATTATATAGAAAGGGATAAATAGGAAAAGGAAAGCTAAATTGTTGGGAAATTAGACTATGTGAAAAATATTTGATGTGTGGAATGTAATGTGATGATATAGGTATGTTATCTGTATTGAATTTGATTAATGATATTGGCGTAGCTGCGACTGAGTTTACATGTATCTGTTCTGTAATTGATGCTGTTTATCTCTGTTGATATAAACCATTTCTAAAAAATTACGTTTATGTTTGTTTTGTTCTGTGTGTAATATTTTTGGATTGTTGAAGTCGAAATTGTGTCTGTGTTCAAAATGGTAAGTAGCGAGTGCTGTAGGATTTTGCTTGGGTTTTTTGCAATCATAGATATGTTGCTTTACTCTCTTGTCCAGATATTGGGATGTAAGACTGATGTAAGTTGCCGGACAGTTTAAACAGTTGATATTGTAGATTACGTCAGATTTATTTGTTATTGGTGTGGGATCTTTAATTTTGGAAAAAAGTGTTTGAATTGTTTTATCATTTTTGAAAGCTATTTTCAAGTTATCGGACAAGACTTCAAAATAGCTTTCAAAAATTATAAAACAATTCAAACACTTTTTTCCAATGGGGTGTTCCGATGGGATTTATAGGATCTTTGGCAAGGATTTTGTGGAGTTTACTTGCCTCAGTGATGTTTTCGATTTCCTTGCAATATTTCCTCCACGATTCCTGTTTCGCTTTTTTTATCTCCCTATTGTATTCTGTTAGGGTTTTACTGTATTCTTCAGTATTTCCCATTTTTTTCGCTCTATTCCAAAGTTTGTGAGTTTTCTTTCTTAGTGCCGCCAGGTTATCATTCCACCAGCAAACTTTTTTCCCGTTGTTGTAGGTGGTTTGTAGGCAGGCTTCATGATATGAGTTTATTATAGCTTCTTAATATTTGTGTAGAAGTTAGCTCAATATCTAGGGTGCTTTTAATACTAGCCATTGTAGTTAGTGTACCTTTCTCCAGCAACCCGCTGTACTTCCCCCTGTCCGTGTTTCAGGGGTTCTGACCCACTTTACATGTCTTATCAACTTGTGTGATTTCCATGTATATGTGTTGGTCTGAGTTAGATATCTCCTCAGAGCCCGCCCAATTCACTATCTGGTTTAAAATACAGCGGGTGGCAAGAGTAACGTCAATAACTTCCTGCCGTCTGTTAGTTACAAAAGTTGGTTCAAAGCCTTTGTTAATAATACTTAAATTATTAGTTATTAAGAATTCTAAAAGCTTCTCACCTCTTTTGTTAGTGTTTGTGCTGTTCCATACCTCATTGTGTGAGTTTGCATCAGTGCCAATAATCAACTGTAGGTTTTTATGCCTGCAGTACTGTACCAGATCCTCAGTTTCTATTGGTGATGGAGGTCCTGGTGAGTCATAAGGCATGTATGTTGAGGCTATCATCACGTCCATCTTAACTCCTTCCTTCATGTAGTTTAAGCCGGGTCCAGACGAGTGTAATGTAACACGTAACGTAACGCGTAATGCAAGGCGAATTCTTTGTGTGGACGCTACTACGAGCATTACATGTAACGCTCGCCCAACCTTTCGACCGGATCCATCAGGGTGTAGGTTTTTTGTGCGAACACAAAGGCGCTCGCAGTTCTCGTTTGGACGGCGTTCGTGGCAGTTGTGTAGTGTGGACGTTCATGATGTGGAGTGACGAACAGTCGCTTGAACTTATTGGTTTATACCATGTTCGTAGCAACTGAGTGGAACAGCCCCCTCTTCAAGATTTGCGTTACATGATTCGCGTTCACTTCGTTTGCCATCCACACTGTTCACTCTAAATTACACGTAATCTTGCATTACACGTTACACCCGTCTGGACCCGCCTTTAGCCTAATTGCTGTTTGGTCCCTGGAACAGAGCTCATAAGTGATTAGGCATTGTAGTTTATTTTTAATTAAAATGCATGTTCTTACGTTTTGTTGCGTGTGGTCATATATGACTCTTTTTCCCCTATCTCCCAGCCCGGCTACTCTGCCTTTTACTAGCCAGGGTTCTTGGATAAGGGCTATGTCGATGTTTTTCTCCTTAACCACACGACAAAGCGTAAGTGTTGCTGCCTTACTGTGCTGGAGGTTTGCTTGAAGCACCCTCAGCATCAGTGTTGGTTGCTTTTCTGATGACCCTTAGGTTTATCATCGCAAAGCCAAGGTATAGTTTTAAGTTGGCTTTGTTCAGATTCCCAAAGGATACATCGTCAATGTCAACCACCAGGATTAGACTTTTTCCTTTGTCTTCTATCCTCTGGCTGATGACTCTCCATTTCCCGGTATTAATACCTGGGTTTTGGGACTCCATCAGCCCGAGAATGGTGGTAGCGTCCGTAGTGCCCAGAAGGTCAGGGTCTGGCACCTACATGGCCACCCTAGTGGTTTTAATGATTTCTCTATAGGGGCCTACCCTAAGGTTTGCCCCTTCCCATGGGTGGATGGTAGGCACCGTTGCCATGAGCCAATCCTTGGCACTTTGATTTTCACAAGTTATCAGGACCGCTCCCTTCTCAACATATCCATTCCTGAACTGAGGTCCCTGGGAGTTTTTGCTCTTCCAGACCTCAGCCAGGATGGCCCACTGAACGGTCCTGCCCTGATCGGTTGGTAGTTCCTTTTCCGAGTATTCTTCCAACACCACGGCCATTTTAAGCGCCTTGAGGGCTTGTTGGTATGTCTCAGAGTCCTCCCCCCCAACCATGTTGGGGTGGATGACCCGCTCCACACCGCCTCCCCCAGTTTTGCTCTTTTTGGGGCATGTCCTAGGAGCACTTCCACTTGATGATGGGGTGCTACCCAGTGACCTGCCCCTTTTGCCACTTTTGGTTGGCGTTGGCCCCGGTTTTTTGGGGTCAACACTTCCCGTGGTTTGCCCTGGTGCCGGAGTCCGGAGGTTTACATTGGGGTTTTGTCTTGCTTTCCTGGTTCTTTTTAGGATAGGCTCCCCCCGTTGTTTGGCTCTGTGTATGGCCATTGTGCGTCTTTGTGCCCCAGATATTCTTTGGGGTTGTAGACGTAGTTCCTCAATCTTCTCCGTCACCTCCATTGGAGTGGTTTCATCTTCTGGTTTTTTTCCTGAAGACCCCCCCACATCTGCAGAAGGTGACGCAAGAAGATTGTCTTCTAGCTCTTCGTTTATGGGAATTGGAGAGGGTTCAGAGCCCTCTTCAATTCCCATGAGTTGATTTTTGGGGTCTTCCTTTGCAGGTTCCCCCGGTGTTTTGTTTTGTACTGTAGGTTTTTCCAGTTCCTGTAGTTCCCACGAGTGAGAGGGATCTAAAAGTCCGCACCGGAGGAGCCCTCTCTCCGGTGTAGGCTATTTACTCAAGGGTGTCGCCTGGTGCCCTTGAGGCTCCGTTATTGGCACAGTTACCTCTGTGCCATTCATCCATCAGCACGGATCGCATAACACCTTGGATTTGGGCTGGAATGCGGGACTAGGATAGGGTGTAGGGTGGGAAGAGGGGTAAGGTATTAGGTTTAGGATTAGGAGGTGTCAGGTCCAGCTCCTGTCCCTCCATACCCCTCTTTCCGTTCGTTTACCAACACATTTTTTCCCTTCGTCGGCTCTTTTCACCTCAAAGAAGCCGACGCCTTATACAAAAATGTCTTTTCTATACCGACATCCTTCCACACCCCTTCAAACACAAAATAGCAAATTCTCACTGGCACACTCGACACGACATGCAAGAATGGCTCAATTACACAGAAGACAAACACTTTGAGTGAGTAGAAATACTTTGATTGAATATACAGGGTGAATTGCTACTCGTGCTACAAACTTCTCCAGTAGATTCTTCACCCTAAAATGAACAAAAAAGTTCATATTGTCCATGGTCCGATTCTCAACCATTTCAGAGTAATTTCGCTTTTTATCGATTTTGAAAGATATCACGTCCTGGCGTCGGAAAATCGTGATATCTTTTAATCTAAACATTTCTCTGAAAATCTAATAGCACCGTTGAAATTCCCGTTAATTTTTC